CCGGGTTTACACACTAATGGTCTGTATTGAGTTTTCAGTCACCGAATGATATTTATGATAAAGATTAAGCCTGTCAATCGAAATATAACGTACTTCTCGGGGATAATATAGAAAATTGTACCTACTATACTATTTTCATACATGAAATACTCAAAGTCTAATCTACTCCTCACGAATGGTATTTCTATGAAGGATCACTAATACTGAATGCATATATATCACGCACATGTATGGTGAGTGGAAAATTGTTCATAAGGTCAAAATGAATTGCTCCCTACCGACTAGCTCAGTCAATTAATTTTATAGACTGATGAATCTCATTTATCACAATTATAATATTTTTAAAATATCCACAAAATCGTACATGATCTGAGAAAAACACAACATAAAAATGAAATTCGTTTTCTAATAGTTGCCATTGTGGATGTAGGTGGAAATTGGCAACAAATTACCACATCATTATAATTGACGGTTTCGTTGATTATCTCATATAAGGTTATATAGAGCGTATAGTATCAACTCGGTATTATACTTCCCTAACACTACAGCAAAGATTACAGAAATCCCTTGTGAATGTTGCCCAGTTGCCTCTGTTCACGATTTATTAGTACCCAATGGTGGAAACTTTTTCGTGTACGGACTATTAACACGTCATCTGTAAATCAACACAAAAGGCGGCATTCAACTATTTACATTTGCAACATTTTTGCACACTTTCTTACAATTCGGCATTTCTGAGTTCATATAAATTATATAGTCTATATCCTCATTGAGTGGTTGTAGGTATTTTGAGTCCACATATCTATGCGATAAACCCCCTATCTGGTATCCTTAATCTTCAAGTGTATGGTAGGCATTGGTCAAATTTGCCATGACCCGCTGCTAAGTATTCGAGATACTACAACTTCATTCGATTTGTAGGGTTCATCTTCAAACACATATATGTAAACACTAACCTAAACTATCTAGACAGTTTTGTTTAATTCACTATTCTATAATTAACAAGTATTCTCCATTGTGTACTACTTTCAACAACAATTTGGCTAATGTATTGAGCTTTACAAGGTATACCAGTAGATTTTGTAGATGGAGCTAACAAAACAAGTTGCGACCGACGCTATTGTACAGCAACTGTAAAGCAAACACGTTGCTTTACAAATCAGGTACCGTAACAGGTGGTCATTCGAATGATACTATAGCAAACTGAGATTTATGAAGGTATAAAACAAGTTTTATCTACGGCCTTTCAGAGGGCCAGATTTAGAAAATAACAGCCCCGAAGCCATTGCATTTGTGGGGCCCTTCTTTAATAATACCAAAGCTCCATGGAATCAAATCATGCCGTCATAAAAGGCCTTCAAATTTTTATGTCAAATACATCATGGCGTTAAAAATTAATTTTTAAATTGTGTAAAAAAATATCAGTAACAGCACTAACAGGTAATATACGTATATACATGGTACGCTAATAACTGAAATAAAACGAACTATAAGTTGAGTTTAAAAACGCATTTAAGAAACTCTTGGTTGTGTAATAAATGAATTAGTATATTTTGTTGAGTTACACTTACAGGGATACAGTTTTCAAGTTTAGAAAAATTCATTCATTCGACTGTATTTAATTTCTAACCAGGTAAACGGAAATTATTTGCAACAATAATTCATATTTTGGTTAAAAAATGTCACTTTGAAAAAAATTTGAACCGGTGAAATTATTGACAAGCTTTTACGTATCAAAACGACTTAAAAGTGAATGACAGTTCGAAATTTAATGTCGAGGCCGCTAGGATTAAGCCTACCTTGCCTAATGGTAAATCAGGCACCGCCTTTTCATCATCAATAGAAATATCCTGCTTCAAAGCCTTCCACCATAATATGTAAGCTGAACGATACCACCGATTACGACGTTGCAAGAAATGTAAAAATTGAAAAAAAAAACGTGAATTTAGGCAAGGTGTTCGATTAAAGCACACAATGCACGTTTAACGAACACGAACGGACATACATACGTTTTCCTGCAAGCATACTGTTCAAGGAATCAAAAATGCCACAGAATTAAGTTAAAACAAATTAACATTTTTCCAAATATTTGCAACGAAATGTCTGCAACCATATGGTATGAGTCGTGAATATATATAATTTAATGAATTGGAGAACTGTTTCTCTAAAATACTCTTTTGTCCACCACAAATGCAACTTCGGCAGTTAGAAGTAGGAATGGATATGGCCCCGATTGATATTTGAATTCGAATGGCTCAACCTGGAGAGAGTTGTTGGACTGCAATCCGGCTATTTAATATTCATTTTTCCGAACCTCGATCTACGTCCTTTTCATCATACATTAACGTCTCAAACTGTTGCTTTGTTCTTGTCAGACCCTTACGTTGGTTAATGCAGTTTAGTTTCACTTGTTGCCAGTTAACGGAAATGCCCTATCAACCGTAGCTAATAACCCGCTAAGCTCACTCGCGTACGCAGATTATAGGTGACGTGATAGGTCTACTTTTACGGATGATGTTTTAATTTAGAGGTATGTATTTCGGGATATATATATTACAGGTATTGTAAGCGCGCTTTTTCATTGTCAAGCACGTTTATGCCAAAGTAAAACTTCTCAAATCCAACGGTACATTTTGCAACCATCGTTTAATTAACAATTTTCATGAAATAAAGTGCACTTAGGAATTGTTGTTTGTCGGCAGTTTTGATATGTATATTCTTATCTTATCTCAAAATTAAAATATTTGCAGGAGTCATACATTCCTAAAATTTGGATACGTAGCAAATCATGAGTACAAACTTCCCTTGGTAGAAGAAGACAATAACATATCAAAGGACTTGTGTTTCACGGCAAAACATTTATGCCAAGACTTTGTATTTGGATTAGTTTTCCAATTGTAAATCAGTTTCCTACCAGTATTGCCCTTTAACTAAGCATGGTCAACATGTATAAGACGACACAATTTGTATATAGCTCATATTTAGACAAAACAAAACTTTTTCATTATAGCAAATGAACGTTTATACCACATAATAAAGTGAAATTTGAAATCAAACATTCAATTCAGTTAGAGAGCATTTATTGTATGCTGAATTGCATCGAAGATTGAAAAAACGCCTTTTTTACAATGTTTGATTTTTGATTTTGATCGCAATGAGTAATAAAAACCACATTTTTGGCATATTTACAAACTACAATATTAACGCCGATTTAGCCCACAATGCCACCTGGGGCTACGGATTCTCTGAATACGCTAAATTCGTTTTTATGCATGTAAACAAAATAATTGAGTTACAGAAGCTCACGAATATTATCTTACATAACATTATTATTGTTGAATGAAGCAAAGTATAAAACCCAAAAAAGGAAAAATGGTTGTTTCGCAAGATTTACAAGTTTTGCTGATTGATATATGAATAGGGAAGGTATCCTTGAATGGAAACATACAATTCATTGCAAAACTCTTAATAAAACAAATACGCAACAATCAAATGTGCCATCTTGAATAATTTTGAGAATACTCATACAATACATTTCACAAACACATCACTGCACTGTCACCAGAAAAAGTGTTTTGTTCAAACGTAATTCACTTGCTATCCTATTTTGCTGAGCCTATTTCGACTTCTTATGAAACTAATGATAATAGTGATTTTATCAGCATAATTTAATATTTAATTAAATTAATAAGGTTGTTTTAATAGATCTAAGTCATTGCAATAACAAACGCAAGTCGCTGAAATTTAATCCACAGCCTTCAAATTACGTTCCACTCTATCCGACTATCTCGTGAAAAATAGAATTTCTCAGTTTAGGTATAGAATTGAATTTCAGAGGTCTATTATCAATTAGAATAAATAATAAAAGATAGATATATAATAGATAAATATAGTAATTTTATCATTTCGTCCATATCGAAAAATCTGCAAGAGGATAAGAATATTGTTGCTCATATGCGACTCTTAGTGTAATCTCAAAATCACCATGTCCTAACGTCTGTGTCTATTGTTCAACCACTGATACATTAAAACCTTGATATTTACTCACGAATCTTATTTTTCGTCGCTCTTTCATAACGACCAATTGCGTGCAACGTATCGTACTATGAACTCCGGAAGACACAGTCATTAACATGTCTCCATGAAACGAACTAATACTGAAACTGGTGGTTGCGCATTAAACATGATATCGAAAACATCAAATTACTAGAAAGACTTATGATAAAATTTCAAATAGAAATACGAGATATCAATGCGCAAGAACACAAACAACTCATACGTCTTCAGATGAGCTATGGGTCCACTTGGTGTCCAATGACTAAATGTCAACAGGATAGAACTGACATGGGCAATCTACGGCCTGTAGGCAAAATACGGCCCGTTGGGTAATTTAATCTGGCCCGCCTGATGCTGCCACAACCAAACTAAAACCTAATTGAAATTGTGCTAAATAGATCAAGAAATTTGTTGCGATTACGATTAAATTTAGTTTCGGCACCAGGCTTATTGTTTTCCACTTTTGCTTTTATGACACTGTAAATATTTTTCATAAAATGTAACTTTTTATGTCACAGTTACATGGCCCGCCATTCTAGGTGGGTAAAATTTTTGGACCCTGGTTCGAATTAGAATTAGGAACAAGAGAGTAATGCTCAAATATATGGACACGTTAACTAGAGCGAAGCAGTCCTTACCTTACCTTATAAAATTGAATTTCAGTGGTCTATTATCAATTAGAATAAATAATAAAATATATATATATATAATAGATAAATATAGTAATTTTATCATTTCGTCCATATCGAAAAATCTGCAAGAGAATACGAATATATATTGTTGCTCATATGCGACCCTTAGTGTAATCTCTAAATTACCCTGTACTAACGACTGTGTCTATTGTTCAACCACTGATACATTAAAATCTTTCGAAAACAGGAGCAAAGAAGTGACTGGAGCCAATCAATGAATAAATGTCATTTTAACAATCTTGCATAACTCACCTTCTCTAACATTCTTTTCGTTTCGTACTCTTTCATTCTTCATTGGAAAACTCTTTCGTCTAGTAGGATTATGCACATTTTGAGCCTTTTCATCTTCAATATTTCCTTTTCTTGACGCACCGATGAGCACACTGGGTGGAGCATTAACTTCCTCCGCTTCATCTTCTCTGACATTTTCTTCTGATTCATTCGGATTCAGTGTAATTTTTACGCAACTGGAGTAAACATTCATTCCTGCAAGTACAGTAATTTTGTCAAAATTCTCGCACAATAAAGTAGTGAAACATTCAAATTCCAGAAAATCTTAAACGCCTTCATGCGAAATTCTATCTGTCTGTCGATTCTGTTTGAATTGCTAGTTTGAAGCTAATTGCTCATTTCTGCAAATATTTCGTTTTCAAGAATAAAAATATGGAACATATAAGTGTTACCTCACGCCACGACGAGCCGCATTTATTTTAATAGTTCAAATCTGGGCTCCTCGTAGTAAGGGCTGTTCACCATGAAAATTCGTGGTTATTACACGATATTATAGCGTCGTTATCTATAACCCAGAATTGAAAGAAATAAGACGCATTGGCAGAGTAATGATGTAACTAATTGTGAATGTTGTTGGCAAATATTGTCAGATGTTGGAGTGTGTTTTCATACGACATGTCTCAAACTAAACCTGTTCAACAACATTATGTGGCACATTCGCCGAAGAAGTAAATAGAGGTAAACTGTTTCACAAAACAACTGATCCAACAACATTTTCAAGTTATATTTGTTGCGTTTTGTTTTGTTGTTAGAAATTTAATAAATTAAAAATATTTAGTCGCAACGAGGTACTTATTGCAATCGCAGTTTTTATGTATCATTCGTTTTGAAGTTTTTGAAGAATAGATTAATTTATGTAGGACTTTGCTTGACTGAGACAAATTTGTTTCTTAAATGATAAATTTAACTTGATTACAAACGCAATAAAATTCAGTAACACATTAGTCGAAATAATACAACTTAAAATCGATTCATGTATTAACTTTAGTTTTCTTAGATTATTGAAAAATTTGGCGATCGTTTACAGACCCATTATTCTCACATATCATAAAAATATCGCTCACCTCCCGTGAGTAATTTTATTGCTGAATTCTTCGTACTTGGGATCGTATATTGGTGAGACGGGCTACGACTATTTGTATGACTTCCATCCGATTCCACGAAGTCTGGATGTTCATTATTTATACTTTCTTCTTCCAACTTTTTCACAGATGGTTGTGAAGTTGTTTCTTCAGCTGCAATCTGGGGCTGTGATCTAGTAAAACATGTCTGAATATTTCCATATTGTGCAGGGGATTCTGATCGATTTATGTCATGCAGTGATATCGTACGTTGTGACGTTAAATTACTGCTTTTCACTGGCTTGTAGATATGATGCGACGTGCTTCTAGAATATGGTTTGGGGCAAGCATTATATGACAACGACATCTTATTTTTGTTTTGTGTCGACTCAGATGGGGGTACACTTTCGTAGACTGGAAAACAGAAATCTGTGTCAGTAGATCGTACTATTCCTGGAGGTAAACTTTCCGTTATCGTATTTTTGGTTGAGATCGTTGAATCTGGATCCGATTGGCGTAAGAATTCTGTGTCTATATTAGTTATTGATTGTTCTAAACTCGTAGAATTGACGGGGGCAATCTCTTGCTGACTCGATAGTGTTGCTGCCGCAGTGGGTAGCACAATATTTTCTTCCACTGCCTCCGTTGGCTCTAAATCTAATTTGCTATTTAAATCGTGATTTTTACTAGACGTCACAAAGTCGGATATAAACCAATTCGAATTTGTAGGCTCATTATTTCTTGCTTGAAAATCTTCCCGTAATTTATGTGGATGAGCAAGAAATACTTTGAAGCCATCCACGACACTTATTTCACCATTACGAAACGTTCTTTCTGTCATGTCGTCGATATCTTCGTTTTTACCACACCCTGCATACGCTGTTTTATCCAACGCTAAACAGCTATCCAACTGTCGATAACACTGGTGTATTGGAATCTGTTTCTCATCATCGTCGCTATGTTTCTTGCTCTTATCTTTGGCTTTAACGCAATAACCATTAGGAATGATTTCACTCAAGAGTGATGCACGCGTGCCAGCTTTCCCAAGGGTATCGACCTGGTATGAGCAATGTGGCTTTTCGTCAACATCACAACACACTGAGCTACTGTCGCCCGATGTTAATAGAGATGATTGCTGACGTACTACATTTTGTTTGTTCGACACGCCACAATCTTTGCTAGTCTGGGGTTCAAAACTATTTGTATTTGTATCTACTAACGGTAATCTCAATTTCCGTTCTTCCACCGGTCTACTTCCAACTCTGCTGTTTTGTATGCCAGGAAACAGCCAATTTTCTTCTGTGCATGTATCAGTTGTTTTACTCAATTTTGATGATTTTGAAAGTACATGTTGCTCATTTTTGCGCATTTGAGAATCAGGCAAATCGCTCCTTACTTGTTGTGTTTTGGCTTCCTCCATAAATTTTTTTCTTCGTAACTTGACCATTGCAACATGACTATTACTTCGCGGAGGGGGCATAGGAACTGCGCCCATTTGCGCTGGTGAGGCAGTAGTTGATACTTCTTGAATAAATTCGCAATTTGGATTTTCATTCTCTTTACTTAATTGTTTGCTGGTTTTTGATTGCATTACGGATTGCCCGTTTTGTGTCATATGTGTATGAAATTTATCGCAGTTGTCTGCCTTGTTGGTTTCAATATCATAATCAGCGAAGGAAACAATTGGTTCACGTTTACACTGAGTGGAATCTTTTAAATCCGGTTCGGCGTTTCCTAGTGAACTCGATGATGACAATGCAAGTGATGACACGGTGGTCAAAGACGATGAATTGGATATAGAAGACGATCTTGAAGAACGAGGTTGACGAATCTCTGCATTTTCGTCATCGATTGTTTCGTCGTCTTTAGAAACAACGTGTTTTAGTGACGATGGAGTAATAACTTCATCATTTTCGCTTATCTTCAATGGTTTATTTGAAGTGCAACCTTTGTCTTTCTCATTGAATGCAACATTTCCAACATTATCCAATTTCATAACCTTGTTGCTGAAATAATCAGCTTGTACCGAAAGTATACCATTGTTGTTATTGTTCGCTTGATTAAAAGTCATTGTTCTAGGCAGTACGATGTCTGAACTATCACGTTGGGCCTTTTTGTTGTCCTGTTGACTAATAGCTGAAGACATATATTGGTTTGGAGGAGTTTCCAATACTTTTTCAACTCCTCTATATAATTGTTGCGACTTCGCCTTCCCAGCTAATGGCGGTGCATTCAAAGACAATTCGGGTGGAAACGAATGTGAGCACTGTGTCGCTGAAGGCGTGTCATTTGAACTTAGAATATTTTCTTCGAAGATTGGTTCTCTAACAATCGTGTTTTTATTCACTCTTTTTTGTTCTTCATTTGAAAATCTTGCAGTGCTCGACTTTTTCTGTGGCGAGTGTAATACTTGACAATCTTTGTCATCAAATTCAGATTCAGTATCGGTATACACTGTGTCCGGAGATCCAACTAAGTCAGCAACAGTTAACGTCATAAGATCTTTTTTTACATCTTCACTTGGTATTCTCTGCCGTGGATAACATTCCGCACTTCGTGTTCTCTCGCGGATTGATTGTGAGTCATTATAACCCTTTTTAACTGTTTTATGCTGCGAAGCTATATGTGAAGGCACGTGAGTATAATTCGATTCAATAGTACGTTGCTGATCATATTTTACGTAGTGTTCTGGATTTAGAGCAGTAGGTTTATTAGCAAAGGAAGTTTTAATGTCAAAATCAGGCGTTGGTGAAGGAGATTTTAAAACTGGTTGCAGGTGAGATGCTGTTTTTTCAATTGCTTCTTTTTGATTAGATTTCGGTATAACCCATAATTGGGGCAATATAGAGTCACTTTCACCACTTGCAGCGTCAGCTCTCCTCCTTGCTTCACTGAACATTTTGCCCGCTTTGTTATCTTTAGACACAAGAAGTTCCATGGCGAGGGTCATCATTGATGACGGTGTTATCTCTGTATGCGAGCATCTTTCCTTATCTTCTGTATTCATTTGAACCACCTTTTTACGATCCCAAAATCTTTTCATTTTGTTTTCTCGCTTACTAAGATCTGATAACGACTTGCTCTTAGCTCTGTTCAAAGCATCTTTTGGAATAGCAGCAGCAGGAATAAAGTCTGATTTCTTGAAAGTAGATGACCTAACCGCTCCAGACAACATGACGTCAAGATCTGGTTGGCGTGACGAAATCGGTTTGTTTTTAACCTTGTCAAAATCTGAGTTGACAAAATCCGGTGGTGGGGGTCGACTGCGTTGCTCAGCGGGAGAAACGAAATCACTTTCATTAGGTATGTGGCGCATGATAAGCCTGGAAGATGGACCACGTTTTTTCAGATTTGATCTGCGCATGACTACAGTCGGTTGAACTTTCACTGCATGGTTGGAATTCCTGTTTTCCATCACATTAGTCGGGTCACTTGAATTTAGCTCAAATTGTTGCTGCTTACCAGACTGGTCTGCTTTCAGTTTGGGACCTGTGAGTGATGATATCCTTACGTCATCATTCACATTGCTTTTCGAAAATTCGTCATGTGATACAAAATCAGCATTGCCTGGTTTGTCATGATATCCGATTACTACAGACCCTAATGTAGAAATGTGTTTGTTCGAGTCCGCCTGGGAGTCAGTAACGATAAGAGTCGAGGAACCCACAAAATCTTGTTCCGTGGGTTTGCAAATTTTCATCCTTACGGGTGGGTGATGGTACACCTTTCGTACCGGATGACGCACACTTTCTCGTTGAGGTTGAAGTGAGATAATGGTAGGTTCTGGTGTTGCAACAAAAAATTCATCACTAGTTGTGGAGAAAAATGATAATGTCGTTGAGCTGCATGGTGAAGGAGAAGGTTCATCGTCAAGACTGAAGAGCAAAACAAATTAATGAAAGACTTACTGCACTACAAGAAATACTGGAAGTGGTCAAATTAATATATAAACCTATACCTTATATCTAAATATTCCTGTTGTGCTCGACCAGTCGTTTTCAGTGGCGGTATCTGTATACTATTGCTACCTGAAAATATGCAAAAATACTTATTATTACATCAAAAAATAAATGGAATTTGAATGAAACTTACATACCTACGAAGATTTTTTTGACTTGTAGCTTGTTACTTGCAGCATGATCTCCTTCATTTCCATGAGGCATTTTCTTAGGCGTATTACAAAAATGCATGCGGTGAATTTATTTACAAATATCTACTTCAACAACCTGTGCGACAAAGAACATTATTGATGATTGTTCAAAATAACAAGGCAAAAAATGAATTAAAATCTAAACATGTGAGAAACCGTATTCACAAAATTTTCTCCCTTTTGTTTCTGTATAAAAACACATTACTTTTAACAAAGAAATAGAAAACTGAAGATATCATTGATAAAAACACAAAAAGTGCACAAACGTTTGAAAAAAAATTATAATGAGCACGTTGCTTAAAAGCGTCTGTCTTCTTCTATATCAGAAAAACGTCTAGCATTCGATGATTCAGTTGTACACGATAAATTCAGCGGCTTGAGCTCACCATGGCATATGACATAGGGTGAATAAAATTCGGCTGAGCTTCCATTGAGGTTATTTGCTATCTATGCTTTATGCCTGACTCAAAATGACTTTGGTATGAACAAGCTAAAGTTTATATTAAATCTCTCATGCTAACTGGCTATAAAAAAAAATATCTTTTTTTAGTTCTACGAGTCCAATGGACTAAATTACTTCCTGCGATATTTCTGACTATATGGGAGAGAAAGATTCATTGACGTTTTCAATTTACATTTACTTATAGTTATATGCCTAATAAATTAAAAAGTTCTATCTAAAAACTGACCAAACAACGTAATTTGGTATTTGCTATCTGTACTGTTATCTGATTTCCTGTCATATTTTCAAATATAATTTTGAAATTTATTAGAAATTGCACTCTTATTGTACTATATACTTACTCCTTTAGGACTATTACATTACAATATATTGACGTAATCAAATACACAATTCCTAATAAAATTTACATAACATAAAACTTAATTAAAATCATTCACAAATATGACCTTTTCGTACCATCCGATATTGTCACAACTCGATCTGCCGGTATTTGAAAAGTTTGATATCTCATGACAATGCTCGGGTATACGTGCAAAAAAATTTGAGGGCGACATTTCCCGCGCTTGCATATCGACACATGCGAAACAATCAAATTGTCTGCTTTGTTTCTTTTATTTCTCTAACTTTTGGCACTACGCCAAGTTCTATTCTCCATGCTGTCATAGGAGTGACATTCTGGAAACAGCTGCTACTTCTTTATAGCTAATGATTGCGTCAACATTGTTAAATTCATCGGAAATCTATTGTGTACAACTCACTACAACACGCTGAACATAATTAAATACCGATAACGATCTGCTCTTTGTATTCTATATTTGTAGCTCTATTACGTCATATGACTTTAGTTAAATTCAGATATATACTGAATAAAGTACACACGTAAACAACCTAAAAACAACAATTATCACTGCTGATTTTGCTATGTGATGCCATTAAATATCTGTGGTAAATTTGTGGGATATTTGTTTGAATATTCCATTTCTAGAACTCCGCGCGAGATTTCATTTGGGAAAAAAAGTTGATGAAATGAAACAAAACGAATCATCTTGAATAGTGTGTGCTGCACTGGGGCGTTTATTTTACGATATTTTTCGTATTTCTTTGATTCCCAGGTACTCGTATGTTTTGTTTTGTATCTAACCTGACTTTTCTACGATCTTATCTTTCATATGGACACGAAATTGTAATGTGACGCGGCACCAAGTATTGTGATATATATATTGTGTAATTCGCCTTTCAATGGCACCCTGAAAATTCAGTGATACAGCTGTACTCAACTTATAGTAAACCACCACTCGGTGTTTACAATTATCAACACGGATGCCCCGATATACACCCTTTGTCCCTTTCATATCCTTTACTTTCCAAGATACAGCCTCATTTTCATTCATACACTGCATGAGCTTCGCAGATTTGTATGATATTTGGTTACCATTGAAATAATTGGTAATTGTTATAAGCGGTAATTTTATGTTACGCATGCAATAGGAATAGCAAAATGAGCGAAAAAAATGAATGACTGAAAAGTCTTTAAAGAGTAAAATAATTCCGTGAGACTACAAACGCCAGTGTAAAGCGCTGTCGCACCAGTGGGCGAATTTCGGGAAAATTGAAGAGTGGCTTGAAATATTAGCGGCGTTTGCAAAGGCTTACAGACGTTTAGACCCACGGACGTATCGGAACATACTTTTCGTCCCACGATTGATTCGAATTACTTTTTTCGGCATTATAAATAATGTTCTGTTCCCAAGTCATAACGGTAATTACTTATCGATCTTGATCGGTAAGTATGTTGATAGATATTTGTCTATCTGTTTGTCTGTTAGATACACGCTATATCTAACGAAAGCAGAACTGCGGCTGCATAACTTGGGAACAAAATGCAACGCTCTGATATGAAGCATACGGTTATGCATGCATATAAAGTTGATTGGATGTGTATGTACATCCCTTAGTTGGCTGTGTGGTTTTATACTCGACATTCCATAAAAAACTGAACTTGTAGTTGTACTTTCTGTCGAGCTACCGATCGATTTGGATTGAAATTATTTTAAATAATTATTCTCGAGTTTTAGTTATCAATATCAGTCGCGCGTTAGCATAAAAAAGCAAAGCATTGCAGGATACAATGGCTTCCCGTCGAAGTAAGCGGTTTAGCATAAGATTGGTTCTCAAACTTTTTGTTCGCATTACCCACATCCGATTTAGACTGAACCGGCATTACTTACATATAGGCTGCGGGAGTATCTTTTAAAAATCTGTAACACTTTAATAGGAACTTGCTGTTATCTGTTGGTGTGGAAGTAAAGACACCCCGAGAACACTTTTTTCATTTCTTGACGTTCCAAAATGGTGAAAAATATTGTGGAAGACAGGTTTATCACTCGTCTCGATTTGTGCGTTGGTTGAGCTAGAGCTTTTGTTTTAATGCAACGACTAGGCTTGTGGTTATAGAAAAAAGTATCCTCGGTAAATATATACCTCTGTCCTCTGCCCAAAGGCATCTCCATAAAGAGTTTTATCAAAATCGTGAGTCCTTGCGGCGACTTGCAAGAGTGTAGCCAATACAATAAACACACAGAGAAAATCGGAATTCTCAGGAACGCACAAAAGAAACGAATTTAAAATTTGTTGAAGATTGTGTTCATGGTGGTGTCTGTCAAGTTTGTGTCTCACTGCAAATCTCTTCAAGGAAACATCTAGACTTTTACGTTTCAGTTAGGCAGTGTGGGGCACAAGCCCCTTGTCTGCGCGTAAGGCAAAATGACCATATTCTTAGCTCGGTGTTATATATTATGGTTTCCATTGTACAACAATATTCATTCACAGTACGAAATTATTACTAAAAAAATTGTTTCATTCCGGAAGCCGTTTCATAAGTAGAAAATGTTGTAAATAGGGACACATGTTTACCTATAAATGCCTTTGATCCGTTCTAAGTTCCCACAAAACTTGGATATAATATTTCTATAAAACATAATTAATGGTTAAATGCTGTAACAAAAACATGTTGAAATTAGATTACTGCATGATAAAAAAATGTTTACATGGAAAGAAGGAAGAACAGAGAAATAACGAATAAAACCTAGGATATAATAGTTGTATAAAACATAGATAATGGTTAAATCCTGTAACAAAAACATGTTGAAATTAGATTACTGCATAATAATAAAAGATTTACATGGAAAGAAGGAAGAACAGAGAAATAACGAATAAAAACTAGGAACGGTATGTTTCTCTACCTTTAGCGTTGGTCAACTCGGCTATAGGCTAAGCGAGGACCACGGTGAGTGGGAGGACGGCGATTTGAGGATGTCAAAAGAGGCGGAAAACAGTTGACAGCTAAGAGAGAACGTAATGTACGAAAATGAGCACACATACAGTAAATTGAAATAAAAAAAAAAAAATTAAAATTTACGTAATTTCGTATCTGGAGGCTTTCGGAGGTAGTGTAGTTTTTACTGTATTCCATCTTTACTATTACGTTTGTTCTCCGTTGATCTACGACCAAAGTTCCCACAAGCGGGAAATTTCCCACCAGTTTGGTACCACGACCATTCATTTGTGAGGCTCCTTCCCATAGTGACGTGCCTAGGATTTCACATGGGGTAATTGGAAACATGTTGTAGTATAAAATGGTATCATATTTCGCATTTTAAACAGCGTGAAAAGGTCATAGTGAGGGCGAGTCGCAAATCGCAATGCGGGGAATGTCAAATCGAATATATATAAAAATAAACTATTTTTAAGTCGGTTAAATTCTGGAACACGACTTAAAAATTTGAATACGACTTAAAATGAACAAAAGAGCAACGCTCAAATAAATTTATGGACACAGAGGCCAAAACGAAGTAGTATCTTTCTAGCGACAACAACAATCTTTAACCACTGAAAATCCAAAGCAGTTGGTCCAGTGGTTGAAGAAAAAAGCACAACGAAAAACAAAACATAGGTGTTACACTTCGTGTTTCATCATCACACAGGTTTCATTTGGCCAAACTTCTATCGAAAGAGTCTGAGTACGGTAGCCTATGGCTTGAGCGCCAAAATTTTCTGAGTGCAAACGACAATTCTTTCGATTGGAACATCTGTCTTGTGGCTGGGAATTCGTAAATTGTAACCAATTAGGTTAGGTGTAGGGATGACTAACATGGTACCAATCGCCATTTGAATGACCGCCTCCGTAGCTGGAATATTACTGCAATTTGACAGCAGAAAAGATGTGCACAGCCGATGAAGTGCGACCTAAAGACTTCTCAGGATATTGTGCAAATGTATCTCGCCTAAATGAAAAAAGATGATAAATGTGCTAAGAACTGTGCAAAGTTTTGTTATGAAAATTCTGAAAAACCTGAAAGTGTGCTATGGTGATAGTGTTAAAAGTATAAGAATGTCAATACAACTGAAAAGTTAATAGTGAAAAGAAAAAGGGCGAGATAGATAAGTGCATATAAAATATGTAAATTTTAGCAGTCAGAGAAGAGAAGAGAAAGGCTACTTCCCCACGGGGCGCGGTAATTGTTAACATATTTGCTGAAAGGTGAGTGATAACCATGCATGATAATTTATTTTCTGCGGATTGTAACGTGCAAAAAATGATTTCGAACTTAAATATGGGTGCACCGAAGGATGTAATGTGGTCGAAATGTATCTAATTTTGTGGTAACTCAACTTCAGTCAGTACTAGCTATGGTCCAACCCCTTGTATATGACTATGGTCGGAAAATTATACTGTAATGATGTCCTACGTAAAAGGTTCCCCAATAAGAATAAAATGGCAAACTAAACGCAATTTATGGCTCGTGTTATTCCTACCTTTTTTTCTTAAGTTGATTAGAAAAGGGTTGACGGTAATTCATATGCTTCATCTTATCTCATCGTACTTCAAATCTACGAGTGCCTTGTATATTCTTTGCTCATGATTGTTCATAAACATATACGTCAGCCATGAATATTGTTTAGCAATGTTTAGCTCTTATTGTTAAAATCAGACACGTTTTATGATATTTCAATAATACGTTTACTCGTTGATTTTTATAAATAATCTAATATTCATGCGAAAATATTCCGTCACATCAATTCCCGATTTTCGTAATGAACAATATGAATTTGCCGCGGCATACTAACTTTCCCACACCAGTAAGCCAGCTTACATAATATTCCTACTCGAAAAACCTTATTTCCAAACCATCGCCGCCTATTTTCGGTCAATTATGCGCCTAATAGCAGGGTTTAAACTGAACGTAATATTGTTTTTAATATTATTGCTTTTGATAAATTAGGTTAGGTGTGACTTGTTCATAGTCTTCCTGCAGACAATTTTGTGATCAGAGAAGTAAAGCTGAAACATCTATTCAATCATAATTTTACTTTTGCTGGTATTCACAACATGTATACTATTCTAATTTAAATAGTAACCCTGCATATATCCCAAGGGAATGGGCGGGAGTTGTTGGTCGACTGCAGCATTTCCAAAACAATAAAGCAGTTGTAACAAGCTGAGAGAAAACGCGTTTCATGAATTGGCGTTGCAGTGAAAAAGATAGGAATGCAAAGTTGTTTTACTATATGTCTAATTATTTTAGTAAGTTTGATGGGTGTGATTACATTTCCCGGTAATTTGCAAGAAAACGGTGCATTGTTTGTACACAAATAGATATCTCTGTTGTTTTAAGTGAGGAATGCACTGCACTGTCCGCTCTGTTTTCTGATAAATTCCATTCCTAATACTGTTTTAATTGATTAAAATGCAATTTATGGATCCGGTGCAAATAACGGTACTACCTGGTTACAGGACCGTTGTCGCATACATGTGCTATATTTCACGTAGTAAATATAATTGAGGCATGCAGCGTTTTTTGTCTAATTTGGAGATAGGAACGGAAAGTTAAAGCAGGTTAGTGTTTTCTATCTGTGATTGCTCGATACACTTCTACCAGTGACTGACCAATTCACAGTTATTTGAGACATTGCTTTAAGCAAATGTTTTTAAATAAAAGTCGAAATCGCATAAATTTGTTTCATCCTGAGAAATACCAGCGGAGTTATCTGTAACAGTCGATGTGTCGTAACATTTGAGAGTATTCAAATGATCAGAATTCATGCATTACATTGCGTCTTGGCCGGGGAATATCTCCATTCGTAGGCGGCTCTGTAAAATGTTGAGCGGAAAGTAGTAATCCTATCTCATTTCCGTTTCGTTGTAAGCATTGGTAGGCTGTGTGTTTTGCTAAGGAATGTACTAATAGTGATAGTAGATATTTATATCTATATATATTTAGGAACGTACACAGTTGGCTTGTGGAGCACGCGGTTTGTTCCAAAACATAGCAGAAACGTACCAATATGAAGTTGTTTCTGAACATACGCCCAAAATGCCGTTATTGTTTCTTTAGCGTTAACTATTTTTTTAGATTGCCTGAAGCTAAGGTTTACCTTATTGCTTGCTATCAGTCACAACGCAATCTCATCAACTGTAAGGTTAAGCGTTCGTACTTCATAGCCTGACAGCGAAGCCAATTGATCTTCACTTCAGACGACCTACATCGGTACAGCTAACTGCTGTGTAATATAATGTACAATCTGTTGTCAACGGATGGGTCAAGCGGAATAAGTGCTTCAATGAGAGGGTTTAAAATAGGACTCATTGTTATGCTTTAGAGAGGTTGTGAATTTCAAACAATAGAACTGACGATTTGATAGTTTTGCAGCTTATTTGGAAACTTCTTACAGTTTTGGATGGAAATCGCCAATTGGTAGCTAGTCCTTAATTAGTAGAGATTAAAATTTCTCACCTCTTTTGCCTAGTTGTTGCTACACTTTTTGATTAACTTTTAATTTTATAGTGGGTAGACTGTGTTTACAGCTATTGCATGTGACTGCGAGGTGGTGTTGCATTAATATAACAATGTATATAATAATAATGTGTAATAATGTATATATACTTAACTTTTAGGTGTATTATTACTGTTTATTTTTCGGTGAATTTGCTAACATTAAATACAGACTTATACATTAATAATTTTCAAGAAAGTATGTATCGGCGATTACAATCGTTTTGCTGAAATACATTTTGACGTAAATTATCTTGATAGAATAATAAATGCCGCATCTCTGAGTATGGATATTAACCAGCCTTTTGCCACCGATGTGACGTTAATTTATGACAATGGTTAGAAATTTGCGAAATACAACGGCAGCAGAAAAATTCGATTGAGGCTTTAGGAATATTTGCATCCAGTTTGATCTGGTTCTATCTCCTCATGATTAACACGTGATTTTGTTCATTCCTACTATAAATACATTGCATCGCGGCATTGTTCATAATAGTGCGTTAATTACTCAATATGATGCTTTTCCTGGACGCCTGTTCAGCACGTTTTCTAGCCTTATTTGAATGGAAAATGAATGACCATGTAAGAACGCGATTTTTCGATGTTTGCCAAGTCAAACCAAACCGTCTTTGTGAACACCGTAATCAATAAGCTGAGCAGCTATTTATAAGTAACAAATGCTATGGTATTTTGATGTAATTCTATGGTGTAATCGGGTTCACATCATATTAATAACGTTATCTCTTTGTGTTTGTTGTTTCGAAAGATCCTTTCCATTTTCTAATCATCTGTAACAACATTGTTTGAACCATGATGGGCTCATGCTTAACGAAGCGTCGATTCAATTGTTATAATTTATCGTTTGGAAAAACACTGGCGCACACTCTGTCGTGGTTAATCTATCGTTCAGTGACAGGTCTGGAATTTGGCAGTTCATGCAACAGCTGCAAGCGGAGACCGACACATTGTATATTACATGCGAAATAACTCTGCTCTGCGTTGGGATATCCAACATTTTATATGCCACTTATATGGCCCAGACGCTCGCCTTTACCAAAGTTTTTAATGTCTAATGATTGTAATTCAGTATAAGTTACATTAGCGCCATCATGTTTTCATTTTGTAATGTGTTCATTTAAAACATAGATACGAATTGGTATTTTTGATTGACGAGTTCTAAGATGAAGTTGACCGTTAAAGAGTCATTTTGTATATTATGTTTTATTGCGCAACTAATAAAGCAGCTAAGCATATATTTTAAGTATTAATTATATTTGGATAGACTAGATATTGCAGACAAAACATTCTACTTAAACGCATTTCGTGCATTCAGAGATATACATTAATATCAAGCTATGGTAGACTTGATTATCTTGTTAGCGGTCATGTTATGCGTTACAGTGATACGGTCTTTAAATTATTCAGTGAAGCGGATATGCCCAAAACAGGTTCAAAATAAACACAAAGTTATTCTGTTGAAGACGCGCTACAATAGAATTGGACGAATATTATATATGCCTATTATCGTTTATTTTCCCTTGAAACATGTATTTTGCTTTATTAGTAGTATGGTTTTATAGCTTTTTTAAAACACTGTATACCGTAATACTCGCTAACTTTTGATATTCCCTGATTTTACATAAAGCTCCATTATACGTAAATAATATACGGTCTTGCTGCATACCGTTTTAATACCATTTGTAATACCGCATACCATTTTTAATCAATCATTCTAACAAGTTCTCAAAAGTATATATGTTCAAACAAAATGGAAATTGGTCATTGATTCTCAAAGTGGCGTCCGGGGTCAGCGAAGCGATTTTAGGGAGGACCCCGAAGCAATTTTGACTGTGACACGAAGCACTGCTGAGATGGTTGTCAAAAGAGGAAGTTCTGAAAATAGGTCTAGTATTTACTTGGTGAAAGAAAAGATTGTAATGAGTGAATGAGACATAATAAGAAAGTTGCACGGTCTCAAACTAAACCCAAAGTAAATAAACTGCAGGAAAATAAGCCATTGAACTCATCAAACTGTACAATGACATGGAATGAATAAATTTTAGATATAATGCGTTCCTATTTGATTTGAAATCTTTAATTTAGTGGAACGCAAGTCATCAAAAAGGGGATCGTTATACAAAAATTTTTAAAATGTTTGGGAACCACTGAGTTAGATAAAGTAACCACCCAAGAATTGCAATATCAAGATAATTTGTTTTAATGAAATGTATACTATAATTATATCGAGACATCGGTTCTAGAAACACCAGACCTTCGAAAAGTAGAAGACGTCGACAATGGGATATTTATTTCAAATAAACATAAGCCAGAAAAAAGCAGCTTTCCGATAAGCTGATAATCCATCCTATATAAATAACATATATATGTTTATATCTATATATTGCAGAGAATCATAGACTAATTTAATTAACGTCAGATATAAAATAAACAATTAGTTGTTCAACATGGCCGAAAGTACCACTCACACAACTACTACAACCACAACGGTTGAACGGAGGGAAGTAGTGTCAGTTGGAGTCAATATTGGGTTTTTAAAAACCCCCATTGGAATTCTTATGCTTGTTGAATTATTCGTTGGGTTGCTCGCATGGGCGTTACTGGTTTCAATCCCATGGTTTCATCGTGAAGGAGAACTAGGTTTTGCAGCCTTTGGATTCATATTTAGCTGGCTTGCTACTTTGTGAGTAAAAAACTAACTTCAACTTTCATGCCATTTCACGAAAGACGTTTTCATATTTATTATGATCAACTTGAAATTTAATTTGACGCTGAGAACGAATCATGACTATCTTATAAAGTATGTTTACTATTACAAACTAGTAATTTCACGTGTCGCTAGCTCATTCAAAATGTTGTGCCACAATCCTATTAGGATAACTACTGCTCGACAAATTATGAAGTCGCTCTGAATTCGGTAATATTAACGGAAATATTTCACACAAATAAAAAACATTGTTTTCGTGTAGCAAAAACATAATGTATTATGCATTTATTCTTTCTGTTGTACATTATGAAATGTTCTGTAATGTACTGTCTCTGTGACACTACTTAATTAACTACTTTTGTCCGGTCTACGTTTTTTATCACATTTATTGGGCCCATGCAACGTCAAATTTACTCAGCGAGACATTTATATGGTACTCGACCATTTTTGAGATTGCTATATAGAAATAATTAAAATATTATGCACATAGTCAAGAAATCCCGACTTAAAATTATAGTGAAACTCTCAAAGTTATTCGATTAGTCGAATAAGGCGAAATTGCTGATATGCTACTGTTTTTCTACGAGGTGAAATGGCCACGCTTTACGGAATACATATAAGTATTGGGTAAATTGTTGGGTTTCATAGAATACTTACATATATGACTCAATTTGATGAGCATAAAAATTGAATAAATATATATATATTATATATATAACACATCAGTAGACCGAATTTGATGAAAATATATAAATGACGATTTTTCTAGCTGTCCCAAATAACAAACCAACCTGTATAGCAGCTTAATAGTGACTCACCGAAGTTTTATAGCTCCATATATTATACTTTTTATCTAGTAACACTACTTAACACTAACAGTAAATTTTCAAACAGGGACCTTTTGATATTGATAAGAGTCTGTTCAGTCTACATTACACATTTATATTTTTTTATAGAATCCTTTTTTTCACGTTCGTAACCGGGCTTCATGGATCGGTGTGTTCTAATCTACCATGGGGAATGATACAATGGATTGTAAATGCGATATTCGCACTACTATGCTTCATCTCAGCTATTTGTGTTGCAGTAAATGGCAGTCGTTTTGCGTAAGTTTTGTCTCCATATATATTTGAAATAGGTATTTATTTAGAAAAATGGCCATATCGATACGACCTTGAAATATATTTAACTGAATTAGGAATTTGTAGCAATACTACTAATCTAACTGGAAGTTGGGAATCATAGCCATGGCAGACATCCTTGATAAGTTATATTCAATGTGGTGATTCTGTACTATGTGAGATGAAAGTCTGTGGCTTCGAATTTCAGTAAGTTGGAAACAGCCAAGCAATTATTTTTAAAGAAAGAATGATGGTAAAAAACTCGTACTTCGTCGAAGATCATCTTGATTTCTCGTTTTCTTACCCATACATTCTATTCTCAGTGGATGAGATGTCCTCCATATATGCCTTCTCTAATGTTTCATTCGGAAATGTATACGTAAACATAACCAGATAATTGCTTTGGATACTTTTCATCGTTTATTTTTATTGCATGTGTCTTGACCCTCTTTCACAGCCTTGAACATTCGTCGTCTATCGTCTGTGAACACTTAAATATTGTAATGAATTTACATTTAGCGCTATTTTCGAAGTCCTTGTTTTCAAGTGGATGAATTTGACGTTTACCCAGTCGTATAGCAAATAAATCTATGCCTCAACTGCATATTGTTTGCAACCATATTTGTGTACTCATTGTCTTGTCAAGGTTATGTCACATACCTTGAATCAGGGGTGGGCAAATTACGGCCCGCGGCGCTGTTATTCATCCGGCCCACTTGTGTCTGCTGAAATCTCCGTTAAAACTACCGATGAAACTAACGTCATAATGACCCTGATTGTTACATAGTGCTTCTTCTTATTTTATAAACGTTGTCCTAGCTGTTGTGAATAAACTTTTTTTCATCTATAATTTTTCATATTGAGTTTTGAGCCTTCGGCCTAGTCACTAAGTCTACTATCTGTAACTAGCCTACCCGGAAAATTAATTGACCACCCCTGTCCTCAATATATTCTCTATTTGTTTTCCAATCCAGAAATTGGGGAGCAAGTGCAGCATTCGGATTCATACTATTCGCATTATACGTAGTCAGCTTACTACTTACCTACCGGAAAGCATATGGAAGATTTCCTTGGCAAAATGCAACAGGAGCACCAGCCAACACGTAGATTGTTGTCGATTTTAAATATGAGGAATTGCATGCAATCAATACATACTTACTGCTATATTGCCAGAAAGAAACAATAATCAAATGGACTACTCTGGATTGAACAACGTTTTTACTAAATATATTGCTCAAAGAATTGCTAATGGTATTACATATCTCTTGGCATCATATGTCATTTATACTTTTTATTACAATATGAAATTAATTATCCAAAAATATTCTTTTATTTGAGCATCGACGAAAATTTGCTATTATGAGTAATTTACGACGATTGTCTTGCGATGTTTTTGACTTATCGCGCTCCACCACCTTCAATTTAACATGGATACGCCGAATTATATTAATTAATAGAAGTATCATAACTTTATAGCACAGTCATGACTGATTTGAATTTCACGGCGTGTAAAGTATATAAATGGGATGCACCTAACGTGGATTACAATCATTAATTAAAAACGATTAATTTATGAAATTCGAAAAATGGTTTTGCAATATGCAATCTGTCTTTGCTTTCGTACCTAACTATTCGTATTATCATTTCCGATTCCAGATATACAGTATATTGAACAGCATGAATTCATGAAAAAATATTGCATTTGATATTTTTACTTTTTTAGACTTCATTTCTTCTTTAATCAATATTGACTAAAATGGTCGTTCAATGTGATTCGAAAATAAAGATTTCAAAAGACTTGTTGTTATTTTTTTCGAAAATATGGTGCTCATCGCCGATTGGCTAACTTACTCGTTTGAAAACGAGAGTACAATATGGTACGTTTTTTTTTAACTCTAGAACATTGGTTCGTAACTTGGGTGTGTCGGACTGTCGGTCAAATCCAAGCTGTGTGAAGGGTAACTTGTTGCGATGTGACAGTCCGTCAACATCTGGACAACTCGACTCTTCGCGCTATCGTAGGGTGAATCACGTTCTCGCTGGTCGTTTAGGGCTTTCTCTGCCATGCACAAAGTCTACGCATCTGAGGCATACAACTGGTTAACTATTACCATACCCCATATGGATTACAGGCCGCTGTCACCCAATAATTAGGTCGTCTAATCGTCTCTCCTAGGGATGAACATAAAATTTCTATACCGTGCCCCTTCGGTGACATGAAGCAACATTACCTATCTTCTGTTATCCGCTGCATTGCCATTGGGGTGTCAAGTAAAAGGATTAGAAGCAATACTTCATATCAGGGTTACCAAACTACGGACAGCTAGGATAAATCGTCCGGACATAGCACTTAGTGATAGCAGCAATATACAGTATTCAGTTCAAAAATAGAAGACTTCAGACATTGTCCCCAAAAAATATTGTATGGGCAAAAGAACAGTTTATGCAGAAAAATAATCTTGAATTTGGAGGAGGTGAGCTAATGCCAAATGATGTAAAAAAACTTGATACCAATTTTTTTTTCCATGTTTTTTTATGATCATTTGATAAAACAAGAGAGTTATGCTCAAATATATGGACACGTGGCGCCTCATAGTGGCAAATTTTGATGACGTCTAGCACACAAAAAACGAACGCCATGCAGCTCACCGGAATATTTGAAATAAAAAAGTAATACCCTACTAGAGAAAAATTTAATCTTTAATCACTGAAAATTTCAAAGCAATTGGTCCAGTAATCAAAGAGAAAGCGATACCAAGAAGTATACAAACATGAAAGCTACGCTCAAATATATGGACACGTCACAAGGTGTCGCTCTTTTTATTCTGACACACAAAACACGAATCTCTGGAAGTCCACAGAAATTTTTGGAATAAGTAAAAGTAATAGCCTTCTGGCGAAAAAAATTTTAACCCCTGAAAATTTCAAAGCAATTGGTCCAGTATTCGAAAAGAAAAGCGATTTATGGTGACGAAGAAGAATAATACCAACAGGAACAACAACATAATATTGAAACGATCGTTATGTCCACTAACGTGTCCCACAAAGTGTTGACGAAACCAAGTTGTACAGAGTTCAAAAATTTCCTAGTAGACCGTTTTCCATCAGCACTGATTATATAAAAAAATGTATAGCAATTATTCTAATTTTAACATCCGTGGTAAAGATTAGCAAAATTCGGTCATAATGTAATACAGCTTCTGGAAATCAACTTGTGCAAAATGCTATGAGCATCAATGATTTTGAAAAAGTATGACAGTTTTACATTTTAATGATAGTTTTGTCATGCATTCATCAGACCACCCAAGTTATGATAAATTGTATCATTTCAGTTATTACTGCACTTCTTTCAATTCCATTGGAGGAAAAATTGGCAGTTGACGATAAAATTTGTGCCACAAAAATCGAGCATCACTTGAACAATATAATCCGAGTAAACCTACCAAGTGGGGTTTCAAAGTCTACCCGCCCTTTGGATCATGTGGATAATGCAGTAACTTTGAGATCAATACCGGGAAAAAAATCCAGACATTACACCAGACTTGTGATCGTATGCGAATGTTGTTGTTCGAGTAAGTATGCCGATTCCAAACGATAAACAATTTTCATTATATTTTGACAAATATTTCACAATTGCCAAACTGTTGCTCTACTTGAAAAATCGCGGCATATACAGTTCTGGTACATTCAGATCAAACAGATTTCCAGGTGGCGAGTCCAAGAAAGAGGAGATATTATTGAAATCATTGCTGATGTGCACGTTAATAAAATTTTTGCTGCTAGCTGGTTTGATGATAAAGTAGTCAACTTAGCTCCTATCTTGGTGGTAGTCCCACCGGAAGTCGTAAAGTAAACAACATCAAAAAAGATTATGAATGTGACAAGACCCAAATTTGTTTTAGAGTACATACAACTCCTCGTTTGACAGCTTACTTGGAAGGCACAAGACATCACCATGAAAACAAAAATATGGTATATGATAATTTTCTACCCCCTAGTGGACATAGCAGTTGTCATTTCATGGCTTCTTTGCAAAAGAGTACACTCTTGTAATCCTCTTCCAATGAGGGATTTCCCCACTGAAATCGCTTTATGCCTGTGCATGTGGGCCAAATTGGATCTTCGCCGTGGTCGACCAAGTATTGATAGTGGTCACCCATCAACACCAAAAACAGCTGCGTGTTGTACTCTTTCACCGATTGATGCTCGTTTCGATGAAGAAGGGCATTGGCCTCTTGTGTCAGCCAACAGAATGCGTTGCAAAAAGAGGGGATGTTAGATAAAAAGCAACATAAACTGTGCAAACTGTGGTGTATATGCCTGAGACAATCTCAAAGATCATTCTCACGCGTCAAAGATCATTCGTTCGACATATTTATTTTACGAATCAATCAACGCAACTGTATAAAATTGTTCCCCAACATCGTACATAGTTGTGTAATAAAATGAGTGAGAGCCCATACCATGAGCAATGACTTAGAGATTCTCAAACATTTTGTTTATGACCGCCTAATTCAATGGTTTAAAATGAAACACTTTTTTGTATTCAAACAATGATTTCACATTGGATTTTCTGAAAGTCAACAACTATTTAGGGTGGCACATGAAAACTAGACAGTAATACAGTTCATGACACATCTGATGATATTTTATTGACAACATGAGATTCATGAGAGATCACTTAAATTTCGGTCATATTTGGTTAATTTCCTACTTGAGCATTTTCTTTTCAAATATTCTAAGGGGTTTGGCTAAATCTCCTAGTGGCTATGTAGATAAGTGAACATTGAGACCGTTGGATTCTAGTTGCCCTTCATTCAACGCGGCTACGAATAAGTATTACGCTGACTATTCACAGCAGGCTGTATTGGAATCGCCTTCATCTTATAGCAATGAAAATCGATTTAGGGCTCAGATTCTCTTCAAATTCGCGGTGGGCTACTCATGCAGTGAAGTATCATAATATCATTAAGGTAAAATAAAATTTTGACTTATTAGGATTGGAAAGGGCATTAGATACTAACAACATATTTTTGTTTAATTTCCTTATTAAACTTGATGTCAAGATGTCTTGAAATTGTAGTTCAACTAGTTTCAACTATGTGTTTCTTACCACGTAATTTAGTCTGACCCCTCAAGGCATTTCGTCGAATGTTCAGTCGGATATTTTTGAGTCGTAAATACAATCACTAATCAGTTTGTAGTTGTTCACGACTAACTGATTAGATTGTATATCCAATTTGTTTCTCAGTACATGCATCGATTTGTTGAGAAAAATTCTTGTTGCGTTTATCTCTCACGTAGGCCAAACAGCTCCTTGATTTAACGCGTTATTGATGATTTTTTTTTCTATCATGGTTCATTATCATTCAATGTCGTGAAATACTCTTATATTACAGAATATTATTAATAATCGCTTCAACCTCCAGTAATATTAAATAGAATAATATAACAATGATGTTTGTCAGAGAGGCCCAGAAGCATTTTTACTTTTCTTCTGACGCATTCTCGTAATTGTTTGAAAACAGGAACAACAAAGGGCAATAACTAATACAAATTGGGGATCGTGAAAACATTGAAATCGAGTTTGGGTGCATTCAATTACCCTATTTCCATCACAAATGTCCACTTAACTGTAGTTACATTTTAAATGCTGCAAATTACGTTCACGTTACCTCATATACCGAGGATATATGAAGCTACAATCACACGTTGTTGAGGATATAAAAGTTAAATTTACACAATTTTACTTATATTGTTAAACCCGACAATTAGCTAACTGGTATTGCAAGGACAACGTCGTTTCCTCGTTGTAAAGTTGTAAAAGTATCGCTCACATGGAAAGAAACTGTGCCCTCAGGGCAGAGACTTGATCAAGTATCGTCTCTTTCCTCACCACACGAAGAATTGAATAGATAGATCTAGACAAACGAGAACAGCAATACATCCTTCGAGTTGGTTTTCAGTGTATTTTCTACCATTTGTTATTTTTACTTTAAAGTATTTACTAGTTTTAGCCGGGTGTTAAATAAAACGCAAAATCTGATTGAGGCTTTATGTAATTTTTTTCAACAATCAAGTTTTTTGAATAACAGTGAAATTTCTTCAGTCAGTCAGTGTGGTTGACTAGTGTAGCAAACTAGTAGATTACCAATATAAAAAATAAATAAACTTATTTATATTTTTACGATCATTAGCTTCTAAATACTTCATTTCAAATTTCTATCCAACCTCGTTCCGTGTGATGGAAGATGAAAGTTTGAAAGTGAGTACATTCAAGTAATAATTAGAAATAATGAAATAGCTTTAAAGCAAGCCACTGTGAAGCCTTTTTTACAGTTTAATTAAATGTACTTTTTGATCGGTATATTCATGTATTTGTGCCCACAGCATATGTCGAAAATATTAGGTCGATGATATATTAAAATTGAACCAACCTATATCTAGTTGCATCTAGCGCGACATTGGGTTAATGGTTTATGCCCCAAGCAATTCGTAGTGGTTGGGATTCATTTATCTTTACATTCTCTTTCAGCGTTTGTAAAAATGAATTTTGATCAATTCTGTTTGTAACAAAACTCATTCTTATTAGAACGTTATCTCATTCGTCAGAATCATTAGAAACATTTTTGATTCAAACTTGTTATAAATGTTTTTTTTTTCAGGAAGGAAGCCGAACGCCATCGCCAATCGAAGAAGAATCCTTCCGTAAAAAAATTTTAGAAAACCGTCATAAACTACGCACGGACGAAAATACAAACGGATTTAATTCAGAAACCGAGGGAGAGTGGGAAACTGAGAACGCAGAGACAGATTCGGAGTCAGAACAAAAAGAAGATACAGATAATAATCAAGTAATTAACTAGTTTTGGTTCAATTCGAGTAATATCAATATTTGTGACACCGATTCACAAAAGTAGACGTTACAAATACAGATACCGCTACGTTGTGTGCTGCAGGTTAAATATAATTGTCCAGATTTCTGGATTGCCCAGTGAGTAACTATGCCCCCCGTCATTCCCGAAACCATCCAGTTAATTTTCGACAGGGTCAATTACAGAAAGGCAATGTTGCGCGTCACAACATTGAATTATTAAAACTGACATATACGTTTTGTGCAGGTATCGATTGATAACAACTTGAAGAAAAGAATGCGAAAAGATTCTTCCTCGTCATCTTCTGAATCTTCGGATTCTGATATTGAGGAGACACCGCACCCTCAGATCGAGAAAGAAGATTCTACTCCTCTTGCAAAAGATGATACGCCGTCTTCTTCTGAGTTAGACACTGAAAAGAAACAGAAAGAAATATCTCGGACTTCTGAGAACGAGAATATCTCAACTCATTCAGATGAGGACAAAGATTCTTCCTCAATATATTCTGAAGAAGAAGAGCCGCATGGATTTACTGGATCTTATGACATTAGTCCTGTGAATGAAAAATCAATAATTCCATCTCATTCAGATCACGAAGCTGACGATGATAATGGTATCATTCCGGGAAAGTTTTCTACAATAAGAAGTCGAGCGCGGTCGTCATCTTCTAGCTCTTCAGATTCAGACGAAGACGAAAGAGGAGAAATTGACAAAGGGAACGCAGATGGCGGTAGTGAACATGATGGCAAAAGAAATTTAGAATTTGACAAAAATTCTTCGCCTGGTAGAAGTGATAACGAGGATACACAAGATCAACCGACTTCCCCTGTTGAAAAACTATCTGCCAAAGAACTTCCTGTCGTTCTGGATACGCCATCGTCTTCTTCGTCGGAGTCTGGAGATGAGAATGATAGGATACCATCTGCATCCGAAAAAACTCAACGACTTCCATCGTCGTCTTCTTCTTCTGACGCAGAAGAGGAAAATTTAGAAAGTAAAAAACAACTAGATGAAAAACCTATTAGAGCAAACCCTGATACCACTGAATTAAAAGAAGATAAAAATGAAGAGTACAATGCAGATTCCTCCACACAGTTGAATCGTGACTCTTCTTCATCGTCATCCAGCGAATCGGAAGAAGAAGGTGAACAAGAATCTGGAATCAATGCAAATGAATTGAAACAACCCAAGATAGCCGCTCTGCATGGACAAGATGCTTCTGTGTTCGAAGATAGCTCGAAAAAGATTGATCATCACTCGTCATCGTCCTCATCATCTAGCAGTGATTCAGAAATGGAAGCAGAAAGTCCTATCGTTGTGAACGGAACACATGTAGATGACGAACAAGAAATCGATTCACAGGTTTTGACTCCCCTGTCTTTGAAAAAGGCATTGGAACAGCGGGAAAGGGAATTGAAGTTGAAACGACAAGAGGAAGCGGACGTAGAAGCGGGACTCGGCGCAAGGAGACCTTCAGAACATGGTAAATTATGTTGTATGATTCAAATCGATAACAACAAATTCGCAAATACTTTGCTTATTTGAAACCGTGGGTAAAAATATTTTTAATTTTGAATAAACACCTGTAATTCTCAATGTTTTTAGCTCACGCAGCGGACCCACATGCTCAAATTTTTCCAGAATCGTATTCCCCAGAAGCTTTTGATTTTGATGGCGATCCTTCATTGCGAGCTCGAACCGCGTCAGATTTTGGAGAGTCCGTAATGGGAGCCCCGCCCAAACTTCCACCTAAGCAAAGGAACATCCCAGTTACCGCACCAGACATTGGAGTTCACAGACAACGACACAGTGATAAACCAACTGCATCAGATGAAGCCCGGCCGAACATATACCACGTAAAAGATAAGGTTTGTAATGTTAGTTTTGTATTCACGAAAAAAATGTGATCATGCGAAACAATTATTTCCTCATGTCGCTCATATTGAAATAGAACCTTTATCATTATGAGAAGAAGACTGAATAAAACATGATTTTGCAGGCTTCAGTCAATGAGAGAAATCCCATTACTCTCAAAACCATGTCTACATAAAAGAGCATTTAAAAAATACCATCAACTATCAGATTTGAATTTATTCAAAAAACTTTCATTCATTCAGACTGCTTCTCTTGGTCGTGGAATGTGGTCTGACGATGGAGATGATTCAGAGTTGTCGCAACGCAATCAGCGTCATCATCCTCCAGCTGATCGTGTAATCGATTTTTCAAACGTAAGTTACAAATATTGTGGCCTACACTAGCAGGCATAAATGAACTGCCGATATAAATATCAGTCAATTCTAAGATATGCTTTATTAAGCCTTTGTTCCCATTCACATTGTCTAATTTGATGTAAAGCACATAGTTGTTTTTGTTCTCCTGTGGGTCGAAGGGGAAATTTATTTTTGCTAAAACAATAATATCTCTCAGCAAAAACATTTTGAAGATTCATTTCAGCTTGGGGTTTTGCGACAAGTAATTTGTAATATTTATTTCCAAGAATCCCGATGGTGATCACTCGCTGAAAAGGAGTAGAAGCGGACGAAAGAGAGGATCATCAAGAAAACGATCCAAGGATAAACGACGCAGCAGAAGTCGATCTCCTAGTGGATCAGTTTCGGCCCACAGAGTAATTGATTTTGACCAGTAAGTTATCACGTTTTTATCATTGTATCATTGGTTAGGAACACAGACTGCCTTCTGGTTTTGTTGGGCATGGACCAATAGAGGATGACACAATTTAAATTTAGTTGGCTATGTCGAATCGGTAAGATAACGATTATTCTATATATCGAGAAGAGTTTAATTCAGAGCAAAATATGGTTACGTAAATGAAAGAACTCTATTAATTATAAAAATTCTGATAATCATTGTCATTGTCAAATCCCATATCCTTGCAGTATTGTCAATTATCTTTCAGGAATTTTTAATTTATAGAAGTCATGAGATGTTATATTTATTGTAAAAATTATTGTGACGTAAAAACAAATTGACAAAAATCAAAGCATGTGATATTTTACATAAGATGATCGACTTTGCGATAACTCACTGTAAAAAGGCCTTTAGGCTAAAATTGTTGCTAGAATATTTTCACCATAAAAATTTTTCTCTTAAAAAAGAATACTGGTTAGCCAGGTTTAGCTCGTATTGCTGCATTTTGCCTCGGGCCATATGGAAACACTACGGACATAACTTTGCCGACTTTCCCAATCAGGATACGTGTGCCAGGGTCATGTTTGCCAGATAGATTATCATGTGATATGGAAAAGTTTAGGTGAAAGGTTTAGGAAATTGAATAGACTCGGGTAAATCGAATAATATTTTATGTGTGATTTTTGAACGATTTCCTTCTGAGCATCAGAAGTCAGTTTTACCTGCTGCAATTGTTTATGAGTTAGATTTATAATTTCCTACAAACGTTTGATAGATTTATGTACGGAATAAAACAAAAATATATTTGCATGAAATTTCAGGAAAATATATTTAGGAAGCGATTTCAGGAATAAACAGGCTGCATTAAAGAAAATCAGTAAGCTTAAAGCTAAGAAAAAACATCCCTCCGAGTTTTAGATGAATGGTTAAACAGCGTGGTTGGAAATTTTAACTCCAGATCAGAATTATCTTGAATTAATCTAGCTATTGATTGGTGATGAAATGCTAATTTGCACTGTAAAGCAATACCATGAAAATCTAGCTCGAATTCGTTTTGCCTTATAAAATGATTTGTAAGGATATTCATTGGTATGCAGTAATGAAATAAGTAATTTTTTAAAAATATAGCTAACGCATTCCATAGCAGATTATTACTATTATGGTAAATCATTTCACAGTGACAAGGAAAGGTCATTTGCAGTAGTTTCTTTTCAATTTTAATTATATTATTGCCATCAATGTTTTACATTGCATCAATAAAATTTGTGAATAATCATTTTAAACAGAAATCCATACGAAGACCCTCGAAATGCAATAAATAAGCAAGCTTTGGTTAGCCTTCATGCTAATACATATGATACGGATGCTTATGACACTGTACCCGAAACTGGAGACGAGCTAAACAAGCTTATCGAGAAAGCGAACAGGTAAAATGCATAAAATAAAATTTGATTTTGAATCCGTGCTATACTTTAGATATACGTTAAAGCATGATTCGGAGTTCTGCGGTCATCTGGAACTCGTCGGGCCTATGACAATCACCATTATGGCGTCAATAAATTCTGATTGTTCGGTCAAATACTTACATTGGAATTTAAATTATTTTCAGCCTTGGATACCACCATAGGTATCCTGGTGAAAACGAGGACGTATTTCCCAAAACCAAACTTCGTGAAAAAAATCTTGACTCCAAGCACCAAGACGCGTTTGCAAAAATCATAGCACCTTTACCAGTTCAGGTAAGAGATTCTCATAATGCTTTTCTTTATATCAATAGATCTTTGCCTGTGGACTATAGAGGCATTAACGCATTCAAAAACTAGAAATGATGAAACTTTCGAAATTAATAAAGAAAATAAGATATAGGTTAGTTATCATTTATCGTGTTTTTAGGAATATCATGTATTTCGCTCCAGAAAACCCATAAGCATGATAACTTTTTTGGACTTGTTATTTAGCACATCCCCCTAATACATCGCGTGAATTATTATTAATAAAGAAAATAAGGACCTCCTGAAGTATGTGTACCAAGATGGCGCACAACCTGAACTCAGGTTGTGTACCAGGTTAGGGTTCAGGTTGTGCGACATCTTGGTGCACATACTTCAGGAGGTCCTTATTTTCTTTATTAATAATAATTCACGCGATGTATTAGGGGGATGTGCTAAATAACAAGTCCAAAAAAGTTATCATGCTTATGGGTTTCCTGGAGCGAAGTACATGATATTCCTAAAAACACGATAAATGATAACTAACTTATATCGAATTGATGCCCACAACTTCCGTAGCTATAACGAGTTTTTTGGGGGAGCCAGGTAAAAAAATACTGAGAAGTTTATCAAGTACATTCGTAAAAATATGAATAATCCTGTAATGGACGCTTTCATATTTGACTCTGAAAAATAGAAATTTTTATTCAGAAGTTGAAAAAAAGGCGGCTATTGTTCAAACAATAACTTAGATTGCACTAAAACAATCGGATCCTAGTCAAGTTGTCGAGACATTTAAATATTTGAATAATTTTTCCGAGCGTTGTATCGTATTTGAAAATGGTTTTAATTGATTTATTTGGACACAAAAATAAAGCATTTGATGTGGATTTCACATTCACGAGATAAGATATCTGGGGAATTCTTTTATCTGGTATCATAATATAGGTTGCGACTACATACTGAACTATAATTTTAAATTTTTTTTCTTAGACTTTAAAAATATTCAATGACGCAAATTATCTTTTTCTTTTTCAGGCAATTCCACCAGAACATCAATACAGGTGGGAATTGGTTCGCATCATTTTAAATTGATTGAACGTGATTACATGTATAATAGAATATTGTGATATTCCAATATGCCAGATATAATAAAAGGAGTATCTATATAGCACAAGAGAGAATGAACTCATTAAAAAAAACGAAAATTAATCTTGTTTAAATATTTTCACTCCCCGGATTATTTTTTCTAAATCAAAACAAAATTCTATGAACCGATTCAACATTTATGAATTATTTTAAACTACAGTTCTGATACATCTAAAAGATCAAGTCGAAGTTTATCGAAGAAGAAACGGAAGAACAACCCGCCAGTAGAGGCTGTTGACGGTGACGACGAAATATCTTTAGCCGAGTCAGATATAAACAGGTAATGTGGTTTTCAGATAAACAATACGATTAAAATTTCCTATTTTATAAAGAATTCCTTTACGTTTAGATTTACCCAACCGAGTCCGCCACCTCCAGAACCGTCTTTACCGTTTGTTACAGAGATTTATCCGTCGGATTACACGGAATTTGAATCATTTTCCGAAGGAGAATTCCTCGACCAAAACGTTAGTGTAAGTTGATATGTACGTTGTCACATTGCTAGGTAGTTGTACATTAGGTACTAATGCGATTTGTTGCTATTTACTCGCGATGTATATTTCGATGTACCCTGAAAACTACAGAATACTGTTAAACTATTAGGAGAAAAACTACAACTTCAAATATAATTACAGAAACCAGAACGTGTTTCGTCTTTCATGAGTGAGGATACCTTACAGGATATGTACAATCCTGCTTTACAAACAGGAGGAGAAAGTGCTTATGATACAGTTGCTGACAACGATCAAGAAACAGACATTGACATATCACCAAAAGGTAGTAAGCATTAAAAATTCAAATTATTAATCAATGCATTTCTCATTGACGTACACATCTACTAGGTTTGGAACAGTTGTTTCGAACCAATATGTACATAAATACACTGTGAATTTTTACTCGTTCGTAACAAAGGTTCCACTGAAATTGGTACGTTCAACAAATGCACCGAAACTGAAAATAACCATACCGACCTTACCGATAACGTTGCTGGCTCTAAGTCAAATTGTATATATACAATTCCTTGTTATTCTGATACTTCAACAGTTTGAAAATGTACAAAAATTAGAAATATAAACTTTGAACTGATCTAATATAATGTTTTTTTGCTTTGCATTAAATCAAGTGTTGTTATCGTTAATATTCTCTGACACCAAATATATATATATATCATATGCTAGTGTAATGCGCCCCTATGTAATGTAATCTATAATTTTGTATATATTGAATATATGCAATGTCATGTAGTCAGTAATCAGTATAAGTGAATCGGTGCGCTGTATATCACAATATTCATTTATGCTAATCATATAAAATAATTTATTACTGTAATTCATTTTGCTAATGAATTTAAAGTGACTTGGCCCGATGATAATTACTATAACATATTTGAAGATACAGCTATGGAGAATGAGTGTAAAAGTTACAATTCTTTATTTATCGTTATTTTAACAGCTCATTTGAATCCGATAGTAAGTTCAAACTTTCAAATTGTATCGGACATCAACGGAAGCAAATCATTTCCTGCTCGTCTGAGGGAAGGAAAACGTAAAAAGTAAGATTTGTTTAGCAAATGCAATCACTTTTGTCGTTGATTTATTAAGCTGAATACACGTATAGAACACAATTGGTCAGAGATAACAGTGAAGTTACACAATGAATAAAACTATAAATGATTCTTTGACATGCATAACTCCAACCGTTCAAATGTGCATGCATCCTCTCATCCTGTTGTAGTTGAATAATGTATATGTCTGAGGAAGTCTGACTTTGGTCAGCCGACACGTTACAGAAATATATTTATGTTAGTGTGCAGCAAGACCCTTGAATCACTTAGTTATCTTTGCTCCTGCTACATCAGCCTTGTATTACAGCAGCAGCCTTGTCCTGAGAAAGGTTAACTAGTTAGTTGGTCCTGCAAAAATGAAATCAATATCATATTTCTGTCGTTTTAATTTTTGAACATCAAAAATGATATGGCTATTGTTTAAATAATACTCATTAAGCAAATCACGATAAATATTTTAATAGGATCAGTAAAATTATATCAAAAATCTAATCGAGGATGTTAATACAATGATATTCTGATTTCAAAAATTTAGAGAACGACCAGGTTTGGAACATCTTGCTATACCGTTGCATCAATCGTCAAAGAAGAAAAACGCCTATCCGCAATCTCTTCCATACTTTGGACAAGACTTCACCGAAGAAGAAGACGACTTTGATCGCATACCGAGAAGAACTGGAAGTGTTGACGACATACCAGGAATTTATCCAATTGCAAATCCAAGCATAATCGTTCATCGTCAGGCCACTCATCCAAAAGGATATTATCAACCACCAATCATACAAGAGACCATGGTTCAAAACTCTTCGGCAGCTCCACCTCTTCCTAAAAAAGAGAAAAAGAAGAAAGATAAGAAACAAAAAGAACAGTCAGACAAAGTAAGATTGAACATAATTATTTACGATGTTCTTCTGGTTGGTATATTGTACGCTGAAGGTACGCCATTTCTCTGCATCAATCTATATCTCACTCTCGCATATATTGATAATCCAAATACTTTTTCTATATATATGCTCATTATATAATTATAATAATATACTCACATATTTCGTGTTATGGAGGGTGTGAGACAGGTGTAAATTAAATCAATATCAACAAAACAGGAATGCGTGAACTATTATGATACTCTAATATTTATCTTGTGTTTGTAATTGTACAACTTGAACATATTAAGGTAAAATGGTATTTATATACTTGTTTTCAGCAGGTACCGCAGATACATGTGTCGGTCGGACAAGCTGAAGGAGAAGCAAATAACAGTCTTAATAACAATCTGCAAATTAATGTCTTGCCATCTGACGATCCGAACATTATAAATTTGAATATCCGTAGTACAAGCGTTAATCCGACTGGTCCACAATCTCTTCCAGTAGTTACTCATCAGCCCAGTATTGTTTACCCGGAACCAACGTATCCTCGAAATCAGGAATCTTTTGTAGCTGCTGTTCATTCTCCGCCATTTATGTCTCTTCAGCAGTCACAACTGCAAGATAACCAACATCGAGTAGTTGACGTTAGTGCCCCACCAATGATACAAACTGGAGATGATCTTCCACCACCAGGTAAGTTCATTCAGACATGACCTTTTATTTCTGATATTTGATTGTTTAATAACTATTGTTTCTTCATTTATATATGCTACTAAAATCTGTTTCGATCTCAGAGTGCTTTTAATAGGAGTTAAATGCAATGAGATTTCGTATATATCTATATATATTACAGTTCAATATTCTACAAACGGAGGTGTGATGATGGCCGGGGGAGTTGCAACTGAAATTTTACCCAACCCAATATTAGCTGCGGCTGCACCGCAGCAATACGGAAATCCACAACCCAGAGTTGAAGCCTTGCCGCCGGCAGCACAACAATCTGTACCCTACCCGACCATTTCTCTCGGGGCCGAGCAACAGACCAGCGTCTATCCACCAGCACTGCCTGCGACTCAGTCTCTACCTGTGGCTCCGCCTCAAGCACCACCTCCAGTTTTGAATACTACAGTTTCATCTGCACCAGTACAGCAACCATCTCTACAGCCAAACAATCAAGCTACTGTAGTAAACGTTGAAAGTCCGTGGCCACTTCCTGAAGATCGACATAGGTGCGTAAGACTACAAATTTCATGATATGGATGTGTCATATATTAAATATATATTGCATGCAGAAATAGCAATCAGCTTATATGGGTATGTATTCTGTTGAGGATATCATTGCTGGCTCACACAGCATTATTATACCTCCATGTGTACTTTTGTTATTTTGGCAATGCAAAAACGAGCAACTTGGCATTATTCAAAACTTTGATCCTATTTATGAAGTACAGGTTCATAAATTTTTTACTGACAAATTATTCTGAAGATTTTATTATTTTCATTTGAGCAGCTCACTACCAAGCAGTCTGCGTAACTCAAAATCTGAGAGAATGCATCAAGGAGATAGTGGAATTGATTTAACAGTTCATGGACGAAGTCGGCATCCTAGAAGCAAAACACCCAAAAACAGGCGAAGACGATCAGCTAGCAGGTATAAAATGAAACAAACATAACTACACCAAGTTGGTTTAATATAGCACGAAATATTAAATGCAGTGCCTTTGTACAATTCTACACAATCTGTGTCTGGCGGACTAACGTAAGCATATGAACGATTGCGTTTAAATAACTCTATAGTAGTTCACTGAAATTTTCAGCAATGTACATAATATATTATATATATATATAATATATCACAACCATTCAGATCGTCAGCAAATCGAAGTACCACATCATCTTCCGATGAAGGATCAAGGAGAAGAAGACGACCGTCTTCGCAGAAGAAATTCAAATCGCATGGTAGGGTCATCTACGTTTTATATAAACCTTTAAAAGTCACCCTTGTTAAAGTTGTTCTAAGAATTGCCGTATTTCACAAAAATAGCCTTAGCATGGCGCTATAACGACGGTAGCAGTATTTGTTGAATGAAGATATTTCCCAACTAAATTTTATATTGTGATCGAAAAGGTTACATTTAAACTTTGCAGTCGCCATTTGATGATTCAGAACCTACATTAATAATCATAATTTTCAATAAAAGGAACACAAAGCTAACAGACTATTGTCGCAAAATTTGCTTGCGCTATTTAAGAATCAACGTTTAACGAATAATAATTATATTTGCAGATTACTTAGCAGAGCGACCAACAAATGAATACATGGAATGGTACAGCGAAAAACATTTGAAACCATCGTGCTGTTATTTGTTTGCCAAGCATCTAATGTTCGCAATCAATTTTATATTTACACTGGTAAGATTAATTATAATATTACATACTCCAGGGTGAACATTCTGGGATACTCCTGTGGTATGCGAACAAGATGGCGGACACCAGAAAGTAGTATGTGTACCAGGTTAGGGTTAGGCCATAATTTCAGGTACAAATACTACGGGAGTCTCTTGGCTAGTCCACGAACTCGTAATAGAACTTAAATAAGGAAAATTGGTACAAAATTATTGCCTAAACCTAACCTGGCATACTACGTTCTGGTGTCCGCCATCTCGGTTCGCATACTACAGGAGTACTCATTCTGGCCGGTATGAACCTGGTCAGGTTAGGGTTATCAGGTTGGGCGCCATCTTGGTGCACATACTTCGAGAGCACCAATAAAACTTTTTAATAACTTTCAACTGCAATCTTATTCTACAGGCTGGATTAGCACTGGTTGGTTTTGGAATCTGGGGATTGATTGACCTGCATCAAAACGGTATCACTGATCCTGAGATCATCTTTCTGGATCCACTATTTGCAGTTCTCGTTATTGGCTTCGTTGTAACCCTTGTTGCGTTTCATGGTGCGGCTGGTTTCGTACGAGATAATATCTGTATGCTGAAGTAAGTTCTCCGGGATAAGATGGTTATTATTATATGTTGAACACCACCGACGCGATTGAACAATTTATTATCGTTAAGTGTAACAGAATGTTCTCGTAAATCGCCCAAGTATAATAGTGTCTTTCAAATCAAATTGCTGTATGTATATTGTTCTCAGACGAGGGGCCCGTGGCTCACTAAGAGGACCACAGAGCAATTAAAGGGGGCCACAATACTTGGCGCAAAACTGATTTTACTTTTCTTTTACAAGAAAACTCCCCGTTCTTCTTAGTGTCATTGCTTGATAAGGTTATTTCACATTCAACTAGTGTATTCACTTTGTTGAGCATGAATTGTTTTATCATATTGTTATTTGAAATCTACCAATTGAAATAACATTATAAATATCACCGGAATAATAAACAGGGGGGGGGCATGAGTGCTAAAAACACCCGGAAGGGACCAAGAGCTATTAAGGTTTGGGAACCCCTGCTTTATGTCATTGCGTTGTCTGTAAATTGTTAGTTATTATTTTCTTAAATATCGTAAATTATCTAGCTAGGTTAAATGACAATTTTTGACGTCCATACTGGAGATAAATTAAATGCATTTTTTCTTATTCTGAAATCTTTTTTTATTTTCAGGTGTTTCGGATCATTGCTCGTCATTCTTTGTATTTTATTCACAGTCGGAGGGATAGTTTTCTGGGCCATGCTTAGCCAAGTGAAAGAATTTGTAAGTTGACAATAGAAATTTTTTAACATATATTGGGAATTGAAATTTCTCATGTTTTTAATTGTGTAATTTAATTTTTAGACAATATCGAGATTTAACCGCAATATTGAAATGTACAATCTCGATACGAGAGTAGGATTATCTTATTCCATTGATGTCATGCAATCAACATTTGAATGTTGCGGAATGGAAAAGCCACAAACTTCCCAGTGGTCAAGGAACGAGTAAGTATTGCCTAACACCCTAACTTGGCCCCCGAAAGTAAAGGGTAAAACAAATAAAAATAAATACATCTGATACTTTCTGGATTCGATACTTGTTTGAATGATTTATTGAGGCACCTTTTGCATCAAATTTTCTGTTTCGATATCGTATTCGTGATTGATTGCAAAAGCAGCTACTCTGACAAATATCTCGTAACATACGTATAGTATTCTATTAGGATTTTTTGGTAAATGAAATGAGAGCTACGAACTTAACTTCAAATATCAGTCTTGTCATTTTTTGATATAATGACACAATTTTATACACTATTCAGATTCCGAAAAAATTCAGTCTGCAAAAAGTTATATGTATACTACTAAGATTTATTATTATTATTAAAATTTCAGATTATTCAAATGCACTGCTACCCGATCAAGATGTCCCCTACCAAAGTCTTGTTGTAGAACTACGGCCGACAGTAAACTGAGTTGTCATGCACAATCAGGTAAATAGAATGTTTAGATATTCCTGTGAATTTTAGTAATTCGCATCTCTCAAAACCATTTTATAAAAGTTTAATACATTGCTTTACTGACATCGATTCCATAATGTTCTCTCCCCCTCTCTTCATGTCTACCAGACAAAATGAACGGTTATTGAGGTATATGTTATATTTCAAATTTTTTTTTTTTTCAATATTTATTAATTTCATGACCACTTTTTGTTATTTATATGTATTGATTTGTGGAAATGTTAAATACAGATCTGAAGTTCGACAAACCATGTGTTGAAGCAATGTCGAAAGCAGTTAAAAACAACACACCAGTAATAATCGGAGTATGGTTGGGAATATGGGCATTCATGATGATCGAAATGGTGTGCATTTATTTCATGGTAAGAAAACTTGGCAGAAGATTGTTAGAAAAAGCTTTTGAACTAAACGAAGAGTTTAGAAATACAGTTTCCATTACATTTCAGTTTCATTTAAAATGTCACAAAATTAGATGTGATCAGATTATATTACAAACAATGGATATTGTAACATAAACTGTAATTTGACTATCATGATTCGGGCAATAAGAGATTAATAAAGACCATATTGCACATATTCAAATAAAGTTAAACATAGTGGTCTAATACCGACAATAGTAATATTATGAAATATGGTTATGTTTTGTTCCCAATTGCTGATATTCACAAGGTCTCTGACATAATGAGATTACGCTCATATTAATATTAATGCCGCGTTCACTTGAAGCCCTAATTGGATGTGAAACCTTTTTAAAATTTTTCCATGAATAAGAGTTGGACGAAAAGACGCTGAGTCATTGTACACGCGATAATCTAAGATATATGACATATGTGATAACGTGAGATGTACTTGCATTATTCAAAAATAAACAATATCATAGAGTGAAAATTTTACCATGGAATAGATGAGTACAATACGGATGGTGTTTGTTGAATTCATGTATATATCAGCTTAACGTTAGCCATATTCTAATAATACCCTCTGCATTAAATGCTCATCCTTTTAAAAAAAGACCATCAACTACCAATCAATTATTTTCCAGTGTAAAGAGATTCAGTATCTCCAAAAGATAAGAAATTTCCTTAAGGATCCCGTGAAGCACATGAGAGAACGTCGTCAAACACAAGAAGACGATGCGTCTGACGAAGATGTTAGTGACGTATCTTCAGATGAAAGCAGCTCTGAAACAGATAGCTCAGAGGAAGAATATAGAAGGCGAAAGAGCAAAAACCGAAAGAAGAGAGAAAAAAGAACGAAAAACAAACGAGACAAAAAACGAAAAAACAAGAATATTGGAGGAAGAACAACCAGCAAACGTGGGAGGAGAGGATCATACCATGTAAACAGAACATTTTCTATCCAGGACGAAAGGTCATCGCATGGAAAACGCAGTCGCCGTGGGTCAAGGCATAGCAGAGGCAGACGCGGAAGTTACTAACTATAGTATGAAATTTCCTTTTAAAATGTATAAGAAAAAGGTTTTTGAAATGTACAGATCAAAGGTCAAATGTAGTACTACAGATGACTTTGAACATAAGCAAATAGTATTTTTAATTTTTACTTTTAACATTACCAGTTGCTGACGAAAATATTGATTTGAGTACATAGAACTCTTGTTTCTGGCATGCTTCGGTTTGACCGTTCGAGAAAGTCGACAAGATCAATCCTGTCAAGATAACACGATGTAAAAAAACAACCGCTGTAGAATGCAAATGTAATTTATAAATGAAACATGACTTCTCTATCGTAAAGTTGTATTTATTTTGTTTTAGTGCGCATATATATATATATAAATGTATGTATAGATATATATGTATGAAGTTTGGACCAAGTGTAAAGCATTGCTGCACCGTCGATTGTCGGTATTTCATAAGTGAAAAACATAAATGAAAAATGAACTATTCTTTTTATGTGGTCACATTTATGAATTTTTAAAAGCATTCTTGTCTCAGTAATGTATCATTACTAATTTATGAATTCTGGATACGAGAAGAATAGTTTCGTTTATGTTATATGACAACTCAAATATTAGAAGCAGTATTGTATCTAGTTAAATAGAAAGTACTCTTTATAAATTGATGAATTTATTTAGTGAAGTAAATTTCAATCATTGCCAAAAATAACGTTAAAATATCGCCAAAATTTGAATGGCATGTATTCATTTGTTTTTTCATTTAAACTTTGATCATATCAATCGCATATTGCAAGGACAATGAATTAAAATCTTTTAACGTAACGAATATTTATATTATAACAATAAATTTATTCCAAATTTGCTTTCAATTAAATAAAATTACTTTTGTGGAATGTTTACATTATTTGAATCTTTAATATTGCTTGCTAAAGCGTTGCTGAATATACGTCCAGCCAATAGCAGTTGTATTTTATCAACTTGATAGGTATATTGGAATAGCAAAATAGTACGATACATTATTAGGTAGAGTGTGCTATTCCGTGACAGTCAAATAATCAATGGTTAAAGAATCAAGATATTTTTTGCATGTAAAAGCGAAGCCAAGAGAATTCTTAACAATGGATTATACAGCAGTAATCTAAGAAGAAATTTATTTTAATATAATCTCATCGAAATAAAAGTACCAGATTTTAAATATTGTACCTAACGTGAATCAATGAACGTTTACGCGATTTTTGCGTTTCCCTCCCATTTGTGGGTTAAATTAACGTCTTCATATGCAAAAAGCAACATTTTATTTCTAATTTTTCCTTTTTTCCATCCTGTATTTGCTAAAATATTCTATCATCTATTATGTTCAGGTATTTTATTAAAAAAAAATTATTTGTTATAGGATGAGCTAATTAGTCGGCATTTTAACTTAGTCTAAAATCTAAATCATCTATTCGAAGGTGCGTAAAGTGTATATCAGAAATACTCGGCTCTAAAGGAAACATTGATTATTTTTTTTAATATTATCAAAACATCTGAGCGTGAATTTATAGGAATAAAAATTATTCATTTATTTGAACTTTATACATAAAAAAATAGAGACAGCACTCCTAATAGTTCGAGCCCAAAATCGTTGTGTGTTCGCATAGCGTATAAAATACAAATTTAAAACACAGACCGACTAGAAAAAGGACTGTCCAGCAGCAATAGAGACACGTTAACGTAGAGTTCAAGCTGTTGTAGTTCGAATGCAATATTTTTACAACAATCAAAGAAAAAAATATTAAAATATTACTCATAATATTAATATGTATGCGTATGCCTCCAAGTATACTAGAGCACGTGATCGAACGAAAATCACTTTCTGTTTACGTTTTTCATGAATTGCTGTGAATAATAACGCGAATGTAATTCTAATTTGCATATGATTATTGTACTAATCATAATGTATCAAATACATTCGGTTAAAATATTCAATGTTTCAACTAAATTAATAGTTTGAGTCTTGTCGAGTGGTACGTGTTTTGAATAATCAATCAGCACTGACGCACTGTGAATATCTAACATGTGGTCATTATAAAAAATATTATTCTTGATTTTTAAATTATCCTCATTATCAACATTTAAATTGAGTAGTAAATAAGGTAAATTTATAAAATACGGGGTAGCACGATAAGTCATGTGAGTGAGTGAGTGAGCAACTGGCTTCATCGAGTAAATGGTCACGAAGGTTATTGTAATGTGCACTATGTACTATGTCTTATTTAATTAATGCGCGATTTTATAGAAGATCTAGAGAATATCGTTTAGACATAGCATCTCAAAGCGTAATTTGTAAGATGCTAAGTATTCCGATGTTGTATAACAGGGGGTGGGCAAGATTTTTGATCCAGGGGTCAAAAATTTTGCCCACTTCGACTCGCGGGCCATGAAAGTGTAACGTAAAAAGTTACATTTTATGAAAAATATTTACAGTGTTAAAAAGCAAAGGTGGGAAACAATAAGCCTCGTTTTAAAACTAAATGTAACCGCAATCTCAACAAATTCCTTGAGCTATTTTAACTGAAACATCAAAATTAGATTTCAGTTTGGTTGTGGCAGCATCAGGTGGGCCAGATTGAATTACCCAGCAGGCCGGATTTGGCCCGCGGGCCGTACTTTGCCCATGTCTGTTCTATAAGGTAGTGGCATTTGAAATTTATTCCCTCGATAGCCTTTCAATTATAACATATGGAGGGGTGAATGTTGCGGTTATCGCAGTCTCGTAAATCTCCGGAAATACTTTTCACGACGGCAACAAGAAACAATAAGTGGAACGCATAACAAAGACGCGTATGTAAATTTAATCGGATGTAAGTGGCGGAAATAACTAAATTATTTAGCGACTCGAAATGAAATTTTTGCAACCTACATACAATTGGACCACGACCTATAACCTCTTGACAATAAATGTATTACCACTTTCTCTGGTCACTTAAAATATTATGACATATATACTTACGAAAAGTTGATTAGAATTGATACTACAATGTCCTTTTTGGATTAGGATCCCCAGTTTCAATAGGAGTTTGATCAAATACAATAGATCAATTGTTCAACTCCAATAACAAAGCTAATCGTTTTTTCTTTCAATTATTATGTCGACATAAATATTTTATTAAACGTTGGGAAATTGATTTGAAATCATGTATGTTTTGTCGTTGACTATCGAAAATCGCGACCCTCAAGTACTATTTCCATTTTCGCACAGGTGTAACGGACAGCGGGAAGATGATCTATGATCATTTTTATTTGCGATTTCAATTTCATTTGTTGCAATTGATTTTAAATTCAATTAAATTTGCGGTTACTGCACGCTTCGACCGCCGTACTCATAAAGATTAATTTTGTGTAAATAGCGCGTCAATGACAGCGCGATCGTTCGCGGGTTCAATGGTTTAAACCCTTAAATTGAAACTAGGTTCGTTCTTCCAAGATTGACTGGTATATAAAGAATAGGTAAAAGTCGAAATTTTCTATTCTATTTTGACTATTATCTAAACTACAAAACTGAACCGAGAAGCTGTGATAGCACGTCTGGGAAGATGCAATTTGATGGCTCCATAAAAATGCAAAGCCCAAAAGATGATTTTCTAATTTACCTGAGTTGTATGTTGTCAAAATTTTTTTATTTCGCAATACAATTATTGCCGGCTGAATAAATAAAACGGTAAAATTTGCTTATAAACAACAGATCGCTTCTTTCCGATTACCTACTGTTTGCATTTTATTATTAAAAGCAAACACGCCTTTGGAAATTGAAAAGAAATCCTATTGTTGAATTGGTTTTGTTTAAATATATAGCGAGCTATGTATAGATTTAATTAGTTGTTTGCTGTTATAGGAAGCACATAGGCATTTACATAATATAATAGGCAATCTATATATAAAAAGGCTCGATCTTACTTTGCAAAAAGGTCTGTCTGCAGGAGATGATCAATTGTACGGCGTCATCCACGTTCGGATAATCTCAGCTAGGCAAATATTCAGTTATCATAGAGACCAATAGAATGCATTTGAAAAGAGAAGCATTCAGACGTCGCATACTACCTGAAATTAGCTATGGTGTTACCAACATTTTTTCTCAGCTAAACAAAAATAGAGGTATGCGTGCCACAAAAAGCCCGAATGTTGTGAATTTGGTGAAAATTAGGCATGGATGATATACTAGGGAGCAAACCAGTGGATCAGTTGGCTTGGCATGAACTAAAACTTTAGATTAGTATCGACCATTTGTTTTTGTTGAAGTGAGTTATGCACGCTCGACTGTTTTCAAAATGTTGTCAGGCCAAAGCGGCTCACTGTTTTGTGTTAGACCATTTGTGAACTAGTTTATAAAGAAAATCTATGTTAAATATACTTAGATTTGAAGAAGATACCAGTAACTTATTCCCGTCGTTATATATATGATCAACAGCCCCAGTAATGTATCATGAATTATTATACAATACTAATATTTTTGAATAAAAGTAATCATAAAACCGTGCATAAACTGCGACTTTATGCAGCACTTTTATCGAACTGGATAGAAAATTAGCAAAGGTTAAATCATGGTATGTTTTATTGACGAAATCTGGCTACCCAAAAAGTTATTTAGAAATAAAGTTTGAAAAATTCGGTAAATATACGACATCGCTCACCTAACATTTTGGCCTTGGAAATAGTTGTTTTGACTACGTACGTCTTAATATAGAACACATGTATGGGTAACACATCAACAACGATTAATGAAAAATTCACCTACATAAATCAACGTATATTTTTGAGTCAAGATTTTTTTCGATATGTTACTACTGCGCATCTCATGGGAGATCGATATTCATCGTGATAGATATACACAACACAGAAAACTAAAATTGAATTATACTTGTTACAAAAGATTACAACAGAAACCGTTGTGCATCTACAGTTCGATAATGCTGTGATATATTTACAGGAATTACAGATTTAATTTATTACACCTGTTGCAAATAAATGTAATTGTGGACTAGCACCAAAGATCTATTGCACAATGTTGTGTCGAAATGGCAGAAAACAACTTCTGCGCCAAAGCACTTGTCCGGCTGTGATAACAGGGTGAGTTGTTTAAATTGACTGACTGTTGGAATTTTTGACGATTTATTTCCAAAAAATGCCGGTAATAAAAAAAAGGGGTAATTTCTGATTGGATTCCCATTCGATAAAATATTCGAGCAAAACGCAGCATTTATAATACATCACATACGCATGACGAATGATACATACAAATAATATTGGGCTACAGGTATATTTTAATTTTTCCATTTGCTTGCTTTGCGGATATTTCAGCTATTTCTATGTTTGATTTGTTCCTAAAATAATGTCTTAATGGCAACGCTTGTGGTTTGTCATACCTAGGACGAGTTTATTTAAATTCAAATTCCTTTCTGTGTAATCAATACAACTGAATAAATCAAATTAATTTCATATTTTCGATTCAGAAAAGATTCAATTCCGTTTTGCATTCCTTCGTACAAAAATTCTATAAGCAGCTTAGAAAATGTTACAGACGAGAATGGACAACGGGGTCGTTTCAGATCAGCTGAAAGTTACGAAAATAAACAAGGTAGAAAAACATACCGTACTTATTTAAAAAAAAATTGTATTTAGAATTGATTACATAATCAGCCGTGCATTATATTGTGGAACTTTGTACTAAGAAGCCTAAGAACGATCAGTTCACATTGCGGAAATTTGAGGTTTCGGTGGGTCGCTGACCATACATAATATAAAATTCAAGAATTAATTATACCTCCAAACGAACAATAATTAATTAGAGTGCCCGGTAAAATTTATTTTTGTACATATATCATTCGAATGTAATTATTGTTCAATCAGCATGTTTTGGTGAAACAGCAAAAAAGCAATCTTGTTCTGTTTTTAATTCCTTATATCATAACGGAATCAAATCTGAAATATTTACAGCTTTGTCTCTCGGAGCAATAAATAAAGATTTGTATCTCGTTGACCAATATGAAAATCAAGACAATAACGAAGGCACAGACGGATTCTTTTCGTCGTCGAGTCGAGCAAATTTTCCGCCGGATCATGTCGGAAGAGTATGGTTTGCTTTGACCTACGAAGAGAGCAGTGAGAAATTGGTTTTATCTTTGTTGAAGGTGAGATATACCAAAAAACCCCGGAGTTCAAAGGTCGAATTATGAAAACCCAATTTATCCTTTTTTTCCATCGTGTATGATTACAATTAATGCTTATCAATTATGCATGCTGATAGGGAATTTATTTGTACATTCGCATGATCACTCACGCTCACGGTAGGCTGATAAAATCGATTCTAATTATAACTGGTGGTTGTACACAGCGTGGTCTCATTTTGAACGTGGCACCGTGACAAAATAAGAACTGTTTGAATCCTGGATGTCATTATAGGGTCACGTTATATGCGCATTGCTCAAAAAAAATAGCACCGACACAATATTTTCTATATATATATTCTACAACTGAATTATGTATGGATTATTTTCTTAGTACGTTTTCAATTGTTGAGAATAACACTATTCATACGACGATCCACCGGCTGCAGTTTGTCTAATAATAGCAGATAGAATAAACAAAGTATATCAAGCCTCATTTTTATTACTTTGCGTCGAGGTACCATAATGTCTCGCAATATCGCACTAAATGCATAATGGAGGTAACCAATGCGGTATCAGATTGCGCCTGTACGAGTGATACTCGCAAAATTGATTGAAACTAATATCCGGACATCTAGGCAATGCAATACAGCATGTATGCCAATTTGTCAGGAAATATCAGAGGTATTCATCGTTCCCAGGGAGAGGGTCATAGGGGCAGCTAGTCCCGGCAGCACGTTGTGGGGTTTCCAGACAAATCAGTCTGATCTATTACAATTACAATAAGGAACATCAATACCAAAAACTCTCCCTAGACAGCAGAAAAGTTCGACAAGTCCCTGATAACACGGCATTCACATTTACGTGCCCTGTCTTAGGAATAAGATGTATCAGTTTGATGTTATCTGTTTGCATTTTTAATTCAATGAGTAGCCTATAACGCTATACAATCATTATTTTAGGCTCGAAATTTAAAAATCTGCCAAGGAAATGAAGGAGAACCAAAAACGGAAAGAAGTAGAAAATCATGTTCCGTTCCATCAACTGTCAGCTACTGCGAAAACGATTCTCATAAACGAAGTCCTTCTGTTCGACTGAAAAGAAAACTATTTGCAATGAGCAGACGTCACACCTCTGCAGGTAGAAAAGAAGGTATCTCACGGTATGGTCAGCTTGACGTTAAACGTCCTGAACCGATAAAATCATCCCCTTCCCCAAGACAAAAATTAAACTCACTCGTAAAAATATATCTTTTGCCCGACGAAAGGATGATGGGACAAGCAAAGTGCAAAAAACAAGACGTCGATCCAGTATTCGTTGACCGATTTGTTTTTCAGGTAAATTAAATCGAGTTTTTAAGTTGTGAGTTGAAGTGATGATTTCCTAAACAAAACAAGCTTGTTGAAATTATTCTCAAAGTTATTTTTGAATGTGTGGGGGTATTAGATTACTGGCAGCAAAAAGTATTCAGAATAAGTATGTCATCTGTATCTAGATATCAAAATCAGATGTAAAATCGAGATCCATACGCCTTGTCTTCGTCGAAGTCGATGACAACATGAAACATCATGTCATCGGTCACATTACTCGACCCCTGTGGAATTTTCGAATGGACGGAAGAATTACTTATGACGATCTAGAACGAGGACATCCACTGGTAGGAATGTATTTATCACAGATTTTCAAATAATTAAACATATTGATTTTTAAGAGCATTCATGAGGTTTTGTGTTTTAGATAGATGGATTGTTGCAAAAACCTTCGAATAAACCTTGTAAGCAATTTTGAAAATTGTGCACAAGCAGAATCTACCTTCAGTGTATAAGATTGAACGGGTCTCACTATCTATCATTTCTATTTCTTTTTGGCCATCGAATTCGTGTGTAAATATCGGCGGTTGAAATTACGATTACTTAGCTATAGTTTGGAGTCATAATATATCATACCCCTGTGGATTTAATAAAATATAAAAGATGTTAGCAGGATACCAGATAGTAGCAAAACTATGTACAATGTTTTGAGTAAACTGGGCAACGATTTTTTGCATCAACCATTCCCAACTAATTACGAAAAAAATTATCGATAACTTTGTACCGATATATAGCAGTGGATCGAAAAAATAAAAAATACTGTGCTTTCAAACTTGAAAAAAAAAACATTTTCAGATTTTTTATTCTCATTTTCTCAACAGAATTGCAAGGATTCAATAGATTGTATCGAGGCAGAAATTCAAGTATCAATGTGTTACGACAGCGCATATTCAAGACTCACAGTCATTTTGCTTAGAATGAAATTGATGATGCCTTCTGAGAGAAATCTTGAAATAGGTTAGTAAAAATGTTACCTACAAATTTCGAAAGAAAATTAAAACATTTTGGGCACACAGGGTGGACGATTTTTAGTACTACATGGGTCATTGGATGTTCTCGGCTGTTGGCGTTAAGCAATAGTAACACGCTTGCCATCGCACCTCTGATTACCCCGCGCATGTTTGTAAATTCGAATCATGTTGAAGATATATAAGTGCGAGAGGATTTATGTACTTTTCAGAGTCGTAGGATGGTTCACGTAACCATTGGTGAGTTACAACTTCCTCTACCATGAAGTTAATAAGGCTTAAACAAATAAATTGAAATAAATCTGATACAATCAAACTGATTCCCTAACCCGGCATAGACTGGTAACCGGACGAGAGGCCATGGGTCGCCGTCTTATAGGCTTCACTCCCCTCCAGGATAAATATGAAAACCATCTTGAAACGTGTACTCGAATACATAAACAAAATAGTTTTTGACGTCTATAATATTTAAAATTTTAATCGATTATATGCATCTCTATTTTATTCGATGACATCAAACAACAATAGCAATCGATATTTCGGCTTATCGATTACGTAAAGAGCTATTTTCTCATGGAAGCTAAATTTAGACATACTTAAAATATTGCGTAACCATATGAGCATTTTATGCATATAAGGCAAACTCAATATGTTTGATACTGCTTCTCGTCGCATATAATTCAATATGTCTCCCGTCCTTAATTTAATATTTCTCTATTACTTTGAGTTATACAGGGCGTAGTCTCTAGGGATTTCAAAGCATGCACATAAATATTTGTATGTAACAGATTTGGTCAGAAGATGACGTATAATTGTAAATCAGTCCGTATGCAAATGTTTGCCTCTGAAAAGTTTTTATCCATAATTATATGTGAAAACTGAGTAGCTGTAATTCTGTCTCTCCAAGTTTTCGAAATTCTAGCAAACAGACAATGCGATAGAAAATAACACCATTTTCTTAGCAAAAAGCCATGTTCGCATTTGACTCCGTGCTAGTAGCCTACATTTGAGATAATTACCACGAAATCCAAAGTTGCGAGATATTTTCTCAACTTTCTTGCAGATCAAGATATCGATTTAAAGTTCAATGTTTGTGGAAAGCCAACAAAAACGAAAAAATGTAAAACAGTGCGAAGGAAAGTTGGTGAGTGGAATAAATATTATATAGGACTTCATCAGAAAATGCAGCCAAATAACACATAACAGTAAATTTTACACAAAATGAAGTTCTATAGGTAAAAAAGTTTCATTTTGGCTTTGATTTTATAACAACCAATTGCATATTCCTCATACTGTATATAATTTACACTAAATCAGCATTTCTACAGTAACCCATTCAATTCATTTATATGCAGGTTTTCAGAATGGAAAGAAGCCGTGCGATCATACCGAGTTCCCGATGAACGAATCTTTTCGATTCGACTTGAATCCAGAAGAATTTGATAAAGCTTGCCTTATTATTAACGTCAAAAGCAAAACGAAGAGAAGTGGTATAGCATAAATTTTGTGCTCTTGTGTCTATACCACATCTACTCATGTACTTAATTTCCGAATTCGTATTTTTAGCCAATTCAAGCTGTGTGGCCTTGGGCAACTACATGTTCGCAAGAGGTAGTGCGCTTGAGCACTGGACACGAACGACGAATAATCCAGATAAATTTATACAATCATGGCATCATTTAATGACAGCAAACGACGAGACGAATTCGTGATCAAGAATTTTTCGCATCATTCCAGTTACAGACTGCGCTCTTGTAATGTGCTTCACTGGTCCGCGATATCGACTTGATCAATTACAAACCAACGAGTTTGGTGACGAAAGACAAGAACAATAAAAAGAAAAGCTGGTGTCAATCATTATTTTGTTACTTTACTATACCTATTTGAATGAACGTTTTATTAAATTTGCTTCTGTGAAGATACGTCCACGAATATCTGACACAATCTAGCATTATAATGTTCTTACCAACTTATATATATAATAGGTATATTTTCAACTCTCTGCCCATAATTCAACATTCTATATATAATTACAAAACATGCGCACGTCATATGCCACAATATTATGGACTTGACTGTCACGAGACGCTTTGAGATCTTTATTTGGAGAATCATTTGGTCGAATTGCATTTATGACTCGAATTCAAATTGAACTCCAGGGCTTCCGGTGAGAGATTATGCGAAAGGCTAATCGATCGAGACATTGTGATGCAAATCGCCCTGTTCGATAAAATTGAATTTAGAAATATCGTTCATCGGCTATTATGCAAGTCACGCATTTGTTAAAAAGGCAGATTAATTTTTTTCTACAACGGTAGAAAAGGCAAGGCATGATATGGCAAATTTTACCAGTTATCAACGAATCGACAGATTGTTTTCAATGTATCCCGACCGACGTACGCGAGTACACTTTTTTGTACTAGTTCCTACGAGTTTCCAAATATTTATTCATCTAACCTCGTTATTTTCAATAATCAAATACGTAATTTTTTGAATGAATTTTTGATAGGATTTCAGAAAATTGAAGAGACACCACTCGATTCATACTATCCTAACCCTAATTAGCTTATATATACATCAATCGGTGACCGTACATTTGAACCCATGTACATTTGAGCCCATGCGTATATCCACGGGTTCAATCTATATGCGGGTGCTAAAACCCATGGGTTAGGGTTAGTATGGGTTTAACTATCCGAGAAACAAAAAAAATTTCATAGGTGCAATAGCATACAGGTGCAATTGTCATGGGTTCAAATATACGTGGGTTCAAATGTAATGGTATAGCATAAATGGTTGTTAGATGAATGTGATGTTACCGTATATTGCTATTTCGTAGATTGTCTCTGACTTACAAGTCACCCGTTCACCCTTCAGCTTCAACGCCCACGTGAATGAGGAAACTTCAGAAAACTCTGTTTGATTTTATTCTCAGATTTCCACGATACACAGAATTTATCCAGACTAGCTTTTTTATTGAAAGATATCGAGTCGTATTTATACGTCGATCATAAATCTAATTAAATGCTGTAAACGTGAGCTCGTGATTCACGTTATAAACAGAAACTCCTATTATCTCAATAAAGGTAATTATGTACATCGTACGGATGGTAACTTAGATATAATTATTTCAATCAGTGCCAAAGGTCTTGAGAATATAAATTTTAATTTGATAATGAATGGATGGAACCTGTTATGTTCTTAAACCTGGTGTAATTTGATTCCTACGAAAGTCTTTGTTTGAATTTTGGGTAAAATTAACTTTGTTTTAATATTTTTAACATGAAATGGGGTACATTTGGGGGTTAGTTGCTATATTATCTCCCCATCTTACTAACTGGAAGTTTAAAGATTTGGCACCTCTAATAAATTGAAAATATATAGAAAAATACAATACACAATGCTAAAATTAATGATATAGGTCAAAAAAAATATTTACATGTATATATGATCTACAATGAGACACGGCATTGAAATAAAGAAGAGTTTATAGAAAGAGTAAAGGTTGTAAAGTAGAATTACAGAAGGATGGCGTATTATTATTTGAAAATTTTTGGTTTGGACGGTTAAAACATATTTTCAATTTAATGTATTTCGCTAAGTTAAAATACTTATGCTCGCTTTATCGCATTGTTACGATTTTGAAATGGGGTACATTTGGGGGTTAGTTGCTATAATGAAACCACATCAATCATAATCAGTACACATTCTATACAACCTGCGCAGTACCTTCAAGTACCTTAAAAAACGGTGACCGTACATTTGAACCCATGCGTATATCCACGGGTTCAATCTATATGCGGGTGCTAAAACCCATGGGTTAGGGTTAGTATGGGTTTAACTATCCGTGAAACAAAAAAAATTCCATAGGTGCAATAGCATACAGGTGCAATTGTCATGGGTTCAAATGTACGTGGGTTCAAATGTAATGGAACCTTAAAAAACATGTAAACAATATCAAATAAATGACCGGTCCAAAAACAAACCCTAACAATTTCTAAATAGTTTATGCATAAGCTTGTCCTCGGTTCATCATTTCATAAGATTACCTCCATGTAGATTTACCGCATCCCCCAGTTTAGACGGGACAGTCCGGATTTTAGCAAGGTAGACCTAAATTGCCCGCTCATATACAGCATGCCAACAGACATTATTTTATTATTATTCAGCATTAATACAATATATAAACGGAGGGAGCCATTCACCGCCGAGTCGCGACGATCAAATTCAAATGATTTTTGTCTTTGGCAGTCAAGGAAGCGACATCCCAGATAGCACAACTACGTCGGAACAACCATGGCCGAACGTTGTTCGAACCACCGGCCCAATAATGGCGAACAACCATGTTCCAGCGAAGATTTGGCCGCTGGGCCAACGTCGGTCCTTTCGCTGTAATGCAACCGTGGCAAACGGTCGGGCCAACGTAGGCGATACGTTGTAACACAATCGTGAAATTTGGCCGGGCCTACGTAGGCGACACGTTGTAATACAATCGTGGCATATGGTCGGGCCGAGTTAGGCGATGTGTTGTACAGACAGGGTATGGATCTATACTACATAGAAATTTCCCACTAATCTAACATTATTTAAATAATAAAATACAAAAGATAGCAAAATGTCTTTATTTTACAAATATGTATACATGTAATAAAATTATTCGGAGTTCGTTGCCGGATCATCCAGAGCTGAAAAATATAAAAATTCTGTGTTAAAATGCAGTATTAGCAAATTACAGCACCAGAGTTCAAAGCCTAGTCTGAATGACTGCATCCCAACAAATTTTCAGAGTAGGAATCTTAAGCCAAGATTCTGCAGTCGCAAATGTGTGAGTGAAGCTTACATTGACAAGACGATAATAATTGAGAAATACAGAAATTCTTGATTCCGCAAGGGGGGCGTAGACAACGTTTTGAGGGGAATATTTGTTGGAGGGAATAATGATGATTTGCGATTTTATCTGACTAAAATGTCTTGAAATATTCCTTGTTGAAATTCATCTATCTTATTAGAAACATCATGCACCATGATTAGTCTATTTGTTTAATTGATTTACAATAAATTTAGTTGTAACTTCATCATTTGCTGTTGCGATGATACAAATAAGTTCCAAAACCACTGTTCGCCATTATGCACCAAACTCTGGCAACATTGGATTGGCAATTTGGCACTTGACTCTAACCATAATCAGCTTGGCGATATCTCCTTAATAAATATTTTTCTATATTGTTCACTTTTGTATACAAAATCTACATTCAATTTCTTTACTGTTCACAGTTGTTTACAAAATCATTATTCAATTTAACAATCATAATGATAAAAATGAATGGTGTGGCAACTGGCAAGTACATTTTGTTTACTAGTCCGTTTATTAGTTTAATATACCCAACTTATCTAAATTTTCTCGCCTGTTTTTATTTTATTATATCTCTGTTGTTGTTGTGTGTGTGTAACTTAATTTAATTCATGGAAACGATAGGCATCTTTTTGGCAAAACCTTATATTCTTTACGCTTTAATCTTAATTAAGGTTTTGTTTTCACTCCAGATTGTCAGATTCTATTTAATCAATTTTTGTTCATTTCCCTTATGAATTATCTTAAGCTGATTTGGAGTCAAAATAATCTTATACTTTTAAAATAGAAGAGGGTAGAGCAGAGAAAGATGGTGGTACAATATGATAAACATATTACATACCTTTAATAGCAGAAACTAAGGGCGTCCCACTCACTCCTTCTTATCCACCGCGTCCTGCACAGTTGAAAGAGCGGGCGAGTAAATTTGTTATAATTGAGCTCATGATTCTCCAATCCAGTCTTTCTTGGAGCAACCTCCGAGACTTGACAAATATCCTATCTGGAATGAGTAAATAAGCACAATTATGAGAATACATTTAATGAAAAGGTTTCCATCCGTTGCAAAAGCTCTATGTTAATTACCGCGAGTATCTACTCGAAAATATACACATATGTGTTTTGTCCACATCGCATTCGTATAAAAGTGAACAATTTTAATATTGCAATCGGATCGTATTTAGACATTTAAATAATCTTCCTTGAACACAAAGCGAAAATATGGGGCATATTGTATTTCATACATAATTTCGAAGCGCTTCATGCAGTCAAAAACAAAACGACAAAAAATAAAAGGCACTCAATAAGATGAGACCCAGCAAAGGTATTTTCACCTATTTTACTTTCATGTTCTGTTTAGCTTTCGAATTAATTATGGAGTAATCTGCAATATTTTAACATTGTACTAAAACTAAACAAATATTCTGAATCTCAGAGATTTTTACATCGTGGTCTTCATACGATGGCATGTGTTACCGGTCAGCGAACTCTTTTAAATTAATTTTGCTTGCCCGCTGGCCGCTGGGGTAAAAAGGTTGGGAACCACTGAACTAAACAGTTAAGTACAACCACGTTACACCAACGCCCTGCAAACTTACAGTCAATTTTCATCAGAATGATTAAATAGAATATTCAGAATAGAATAAATTGATTTTTAATGTTTTTTCGTTGTGGGGTCGCAAGTATCTGTAGTCTGTGATTTTACAAAAATTGGGGTCGCGGAAAAAAAAGTTTGGGAACCACCGCCGTAAAGTGTCCGTAAAAATATTCAACTTACGAGCCATTTTTTCATCCTTGAATGTATTCTGGATCAAAATGTAATCAGACAATGAATTGACAATGAATTTCATCAATTCCGGTATGTCCGAGTCCACACTATATTCAGTGGAAAATTGCAGATGCCGTAGCTTGTAGCATAAGAGTTTCTACCGCCTGTCCCAACAATTTTTCCATGGACTGGATTGAAGCATGGCTTGATCTCTGAAAATCAAGTTAGTGTTACCCAATGTATAGTACATGATTGTCTTTCAGATGATAAACGTGAACGAATGGCCTATACTAATTACCAGAATATAAATTTTTCATTAATATTAATTACCGTATTTTCCGGCGAATAAGTCTACCCGGCGAATAAGACGAGGCCTGTTTTTAAGCCTGAAAAAATGGGTTTTTGCATATAACCGGTTAATAAGTCGGGGTAGTAAAATCGCATCAACGTCGGGAATCGTAAATTACCATGCAATGCCTTTCGAGCGGTCGCCGCGTTTAGCATTGGTTAAAATAGCCTATAATGACTTTTTCTTGTAGCGTAATATTCAATCCATATATGATAATGCAAATATGATAATCACAGCATTGAAATTCCAGATTCACAGCACAAGAATGTCGATTTATTTAAACTAACCAGAGGAGGACGTGGGGGATGCTATCGCCGAAGGTGTTTCATTGTCCGGATTCAATAATAAGGCGACAAAAAAATGAAAATGATCATACTCGCCTAATAAGACGAACCCCCCCCAAAAATTTGAGTCTAGAAAAGCGACTTACTCGTCGGAAAATACGGTATTAACCACATGATGTTGTACTAGGTAATTATTCAATCGATATATCTAGCTATTGTGCAATATTTTATGGCACAGATATGCAAGGAGCTACTATCAAACTATAAAACAAAAACACCTGTTTTGGGCATTGTCCGCATTGAAACACTGAGATGCTTGAAATGACACAGTGTATGATTGCGTGAAAGAGGGAATTGAAGCAGGTGAATTTTCCAGTCCATTGTCATAGGGCCTATTACTGTATTATAAAAATGGTATATATCATTAAACTTACAATGGTAATATTGACACTTGACAGAATATCTAATCGGTAATAATTATTTAGAATGACCGGAAAAAATGGATATTACACAAAATATGTCCAAATATTTGTAAAGGATGTGCCGTAAAATACTTCATGCTTTTAGAGTCGCTGCGCATTGCACAGTTGCATGCACATTTGGCAGTCATTGTACAGAGATGGGCTTCGCCCAGTCGCCCGAATCTTTTTTGCTAGCGGTCTACTTTCCAATTCACTTTAAAATATAGACTAGACTGGCCCGCACCTAGACTGGCGGGCCATGTCGCATCTCGCATGTGTGGCGTAAAAAGTTATACTTTAGGAACAAAATTTTATTTAAAGTGTTATAAAAACAAAAAGGGAAAACAATTATCCTTGAGCTATTCTTTACCCAAAAACATCAAATTTTAGTTTCAGTTTGATTGTGGCAATTGTTAAAACATATTTAGATTTCAGCCAATTGAGATCTGTATTTAGATTTGTTGAAATTCATCAGACAGAAGGTTCACAAATGTGCAACTATTCAGATTACTGGATTAAGTCGTCCAACGGGTTGGATTTGGGCTGCGGAAATGTTTGGACCTAGACAAATAAAGTAAATATAAAAAATCATATCTAGGGATGAAGGACCAATACCGGTACCGGTACTCGATAACGAATACCGGTACTGGTAAATAAGAGATGGCAACCTCAAAAAGTTTAACAAAAAATGCCAAAAGACCAAGTACGGTAACTTACCGGTACCTCATCTCGTTCTGTCGTTACCGGTACCTACGGTGTCCAGGGATAAATATGTAATATATGTAATACCGGTATGGTGCCGGTACCGTACCGTATCACCCTTAAGAACTGTGATCTGACAACGCACTTAGGGTACCGTACTGTACCGGTACCATGAGATTAACTTACATGGTTACAACTATCTCTACTTTCGCCATTCATACTATGATAGCATTAAAAGTTCAATTTCACTGTCTAATCCACGGCAAAAACCTCGTAACAGGATACCGATTACGAGTACCGCCAAAATGAATGGCGACCCCATGTGCTATATTCGAATCGCGCGCCAATTTCATCGCGTTATGGCGTGTTTCGTTGAATGCCAATGATGGCCTTACCATGGTAAATGGTTGTAAAACCGCGTACAACGGTTGCCGGCGGATTATAACGTTGGCCCAACGTAGTTGTGCTATCTGGGATTTGCCTATAACACGTTATTTATGGCCAAAACTTTGACTGTGCAGCTAAATTAATGTCAATATTCTGGCGCTCCAGTAGCATGTACACCAAGATGGTGGACACATGGACGTAGTATGTGCACCAGGTTGGGGTTAGGCCATAATTTCAGGTACAAATACTACAGGAGCCAGTTGGCTAGTCCCCGGACTCGTAATAGAACTAAAATAAGGAAAATTGGAATAAAATTATGGCCCAACCCTAACCTGGTACACATACTACGTTCCGTGCCCGCCATCCTGGTGCACATACTTCTGGAGTACCAATATTTTTAGTCTGAATTTGCATTAGCCAAAACAACATTTGAATCGTTTTTGTTAATCGAATTATTCCGATGTTCTCCTCTCAACTTTATGATTCAATTCAAATTAAATTTATGTCGGTAAACATCGATGCTCCAAATAGAAAAAAATAGAAAGTTTGTTCTAGTTGTGGTTCGCTAATTTTTACATTATGTTGGTGTGAAGATTAGAGTTGTTAGAAATTAAATGTCTACTCTGAAAACCGAAATTTCGACACGATACTTCTCTCCGTTCTCGACCAAAAAGACTTAAAAGGAGAATTTTTTTTTCATTTTGTGCGGACAGCTGCAAATCTAACTTTGGATACACATAAACACGCGGGACAAACAATGTTTTCTTTAAAGTGAAAACCTGAAAAAACGGGTATTTCAGAACAGAAGTGTGTGCACCAAGATGGCGGACACCGGAACGTCGTATATGTACCAGGTTAGGCCATGATTTTAGGTACAAATACTACGGGTACGGGAGTCACCGAATTTGTAATAGAACTACAATAAAGAAAATTGAAATAAAATTATGGCCCAACCCTAACCTGGTAAACATACGACGTTTCGGTGTCGGAAGGGAGAGGGATGTACTAATCTTACAAAAAAATGTTTTGACGATCCAACGTACCAATTTTAATTGAAATATTTGTCTTTGGCTAGATCAGCTACTTCAACAAAAGTATTCTGATCATTGAAAAAAATATATTAATGTCGCAGATGTTACAAATATACTGCCAGTGGAGTGGAGCTAAATTTACAAGAAAAAAGAAAGTATATTTATTCCATTGAAATCACTTATATCTCTCAAATGCTTGGAACTCTCTGGCGAAGCCGACGCAACAATATTTGAAATGAGCGATACTATCAGGTGTCACATATTGACGAACCTAACGGCTGGTATAACCTCGACCAAAGAAGTGTTTGGATTTCCAAAATCGTTCCGGTGTTGACTACCGATACAATTTTCGAAGAGCAAGTGCTGTTATGATAGAAAGGTATAGTTCGAAAGCAGGGGTAGAGAATATAAAAGTACTTCAACTTGCAGAATCCATGACATTTCGAGAAGAGTTCCACCTGAGCGCAAACTAACTAATCCTCGCAACCGAACCAAGGTTCGTTCGATCCGTTCCGTTTTTTTTTGTTTCAGATCTATCTACCTTTATCCAAAATTTCATTTGGTCACCTAGAAATAGTCCCCCACAATAAATCTGAAATATCACCAGTTTCGTATTCCTCTAGTTGTTTAAATAAATAAAACAAATGTAGACACAATAAGGATATCAATACCATAAAATCAGTAAGATATTGCACTTAATCATGTGGCATTTGAAGTAAAAGCACCATTCACCCTATTTGTTGTCAAAACTAAAAAATGGCAAAACAGCTTTAACATCAAACTTTTCAAAAACATGTTTATATTAATTATCTGCTTCAATATGGTAGATTTTAAAATATGTTCAATAATCAGGAATGTCTTTACAACAAATGATATTGAAAATTGTTGGATATAAGTTTCGGAAATCCCCAAATCACTATGCCACAACCATGGTAATATTTGTTAATCCTTAAAATGTCAACAAAGATGGTTGACTTCGGGATAATAGTAAACTGAAAATGTATGTATAGTCTGATGAAACATAAATTTATAAGCATTTCAATTAATTTGTGCGAATCAGGTATAGATCATTGGTGTATTACTTCACCAAGTAATTATTTATAGGCCATGCTATACCAAAAAATACTTGCACCCAGTTAATTGTAATCTTTGATAATTCGAGCCCAGCTTTTGATGAATGTATATAATGGCCTGACAGAAGCATAATTTGAGTATAATTTTGTTAATCAGTCTGTGAATATACTCAGTCATAATGTTTTGAAATGTTGATAGACTAGTGTCTCATCTTTTTTCCAGCTTCCGAAATCGTTCCTCTGTGAAAAACATCAGTCAGGGCAAGTTTTAAATAAGATCATACATATTACAAATTTACAATAGAATATTCATAAAACCCATATTTATATGCCGAATTTGGCTAGATGGCTGTATTGTGTGCTAAATACGCTTGCCATTGCTTACGCCCGCCATGAGTTCAGGCTTGAATCCCATGAAAGATGAATATGTGCAAGATGACATATGGGAGGAATTTTCATATTCATCTTGAGGGATAGCAAAGTCGATAAGATGTCTCAATCATATGGCGAATCACAGCTTCCCAGACACCAATACCCAGCCTTGGCCTAAAATCAATTCAAGCCCATGGTTCACCACATGATTAACATTGCTAAGTGGCTTCCTCCCCATTACACTGTCAATGAGGTGAGCAATAAAGTAATGATCTCAATCACTTGAGCCCAATTTGATCACCTACAAGTGTTAGTTAGTAGTTTAAAAACATGGGCAATCTAAAATAAAATGAAACACCGACTTGAAATATAAACTTGCTGAAGATATGACAGTGTCAGTCAGTTAATAAAATTTGACTTAGAGTCAAAAACAATTTGTTGAAGGAGAATTCAAAATCTCTTTTCAGACAAATTCATTTGTTATCTCTTATGTAAGTTAAAGGTTTAACAATGGCAAGTGTTCTTCAAAGCTGGTATATTTTAATATTATCATACTATTTTGGTATGAAGAACTGATGATGATGGACTCACAAAGCTGTCTCTGTGAATCCCAAAATAATAGATTAAACATAAGCTGAAGTACTGCATGTTGTATTCTAATAAATGAAAATATTAATCTTCCGAGATGTATAAGAATATGTTCCTAACAGTCATTTAATGATAATCAGGAAGAAGATGCTTTTTATAAGAAAAAAAGTATCAAAAATGTAATACCTAGTCTTTTAGCATATCCATCCAGTTTATAAGCTGCTTGTTCCAATACCAGTACGCTTTGCTCAATCTGTTCAATTTGTTCCAAATACGGTCGCAAATCGGAAACTAAAATGTTTTTAAAGAATTTAATATGGCATTTTGCAGAAACAAATTTGTAGGGAACTCGTGCTACAGGGTACAAATGGAATGATAATGAATGTTTAGATTTAAAATCATCGAAACACCACTGGGTTAACTGAACTGTTTTTTTCGATTGAAATCTTACACCAACAAGACTTGCATATTTAAACTTACCAATATCTATATATCATTACTAATTCTTATTTAGTATACTTTAGGTAAATTCAAACTTACATTTAAGGTTGATTTCGTGCATAGATTGGCTGACAGAAGTAGCAACTTTCATCATTTCTTGATATTTAAAACATGTAGATCTATTCATTCTTTCCAACAATGCATAATCTTCAACTGAATTTGCCACTTCCCCCTAAATTAGTTCCAATGGCTAGCTTTTCAATATCACACTACTATTTACAGAATATATACCAAAGTCTCGCCTATGTTTCAAAAGCAGATACATTTACAACAAACTCGAGTATCTCGGATTCAACAAATATCATATTTAGAAAAAGTTATACCTTCAAATAGTTTTCCAATTTTGCAAACATGTTGTTGCATAAATCACCCAATTCTTTTTCAGACTTAGTCATTTTTTCTATTTTTCTCGGATGAACTTTTTTCAACTCACCCACAGTACTCGAAGCTTGTCCACTCTGAAAAATCAATTGCTAAAACAGATACAACTTATAAAATAACAAATTATATTGAAATCGCCTATTGAATAGCTACGATTCAAAGTTCCACAATTACCAAAGTAAAAATGGCTCTTCTTTTATGTTCATAATAGCCCTTAAATTTCAGCTAACCTGTGAGATCGCAATAGACGATGGATTTTCAATGGTAAGCGCAGGAATTTCATCTTTTCCGAGCGGCACAACACCAATATCTTCAATTTCTTTATCCTCTTCTAATTTTGACTTTTCATTTTCCTCAAAAGATATATTGCTATAATCAGAACTGGTATTCAAATCTTTGGGATCAATGTCCAAATTTTTAACAGCTTTTTCATCATCAGCAACATCTTCTGGTTGTTGAATATCATCTTGTTTTGGTTGCTGATCTGTGTCCATTTCATTCGTTGCCTCGGTTGAGTCTTCTGACATTTTTTCAACTATTTTATCACAACATGAATAACAATCTGCATTGGCTATGTAGTGAAATAGTTAATTAGATGCATAGCATGATAATAATTGAAAACCTTATAGAGGCATGCATAATCAGATAATACTTATAAAAAGCAAATACAGAAAAAAGATTTAGAAAAATCAAGAAACAAGCAAAATTTTAGAAGTAAATTTGACAAAATTACCTTTTATTGCACATACAATCAATTTTATTTATGATTGAATACAAATTTCAAGAATGAAGTATATCTTGATTTACAATTTTGTTTGATCTAATAATATATTAAATACATTCTTTTTGAATAAATTATAAACTACCAAACAAGAAACAGCCAATGAATCGAGCATATATACATGCTATAAAATTTGACCAAATATTTCAAAAGTAAGGATCATTTAAATTTATTCCCGGACTGATATTAGCACACTGGCACAAGGCATCACTGTGAAGAGGGATACAACTTATTGTTTACATAAATTTTTTTATTAAGTTTGATATAAAAGGTTGAATTTCTGATAAATCCACAAATTCATGTTAACATATTATTGCACCAATACTATGTATCAACTAAATTGCATAGCAAACATAATATGAACAGAACATGAAACAAATTGTACAAATGTCATTAGCAACTTTTTTACAATGAATAACATCACAAAGCAGAAGAATCATGAACAAACAAAAATAAAACTAAACAGAAAACGTTTGAAGTCCAGAAGGTTGAAACTTTTTAAAAATGACCTAATTACAGACAGAGACATAATGTAGCATTCTTCCATTGCTGTATTGGTAATAAACATAATTCATATCATATAAATTCTCTATCCACACTATTAAATAAAGAAAAATACAGAACCTAGACTATATCAGAAACAGTAGACTAGACTATCCCCTCGAAACAAATATAACAGCTCAGTCAACTGTATGACTATTTAATTCCTCTCTCATGTCGTCATACATTTGTTTTAAATCTTCGATCTCCGTTTTGAACGATTCTTCAATTTCAATCTTCTGTTGATCCAATGCGCCGTGAAATTCCACATGATTTGCTGTATTTAGAGTATCATTTTCAAAATTGTTTAAAATTTTTTCCTCCTCCATAAAAATTTTATTGCATGCCTTATTACAAGCTAAAATCTTTTCTTGAACTTGTGATAAGCCCACTGAAGAAATGCTTATAGATGATGGAATGGAACTGTTTTTAACATTATTTGCACACTTCCATATTTGTCCCAGTTGTATCTCTCCAATTTCCAGGGGCCTATCATATTTACGAACAAAGATCTTGCATTCTTTCTCCACCGCAGCATGGTGATTGAATAGACTTTTCACAGCTTCCATACAAATTCGTTAATACAGTAATACTAATCTCTGGCTGCATGAAAAACAGTGAATGAACACTGAAACAGAAGCATAACTACATGAGTCAGTCAGTTAGTATATCACAAATCTGCAAACTGCAATCTGACCGATTGATAGAGCTCTGAAATTAGAACAGAAATTTTTGCTAACCTGCAAACGTCTGCAGTCTGTAATCAGTATGCACAACAAGTTGATTTTTGGAGAATGTCTGTGTCTGTGTGATAGGAGTCGTATGGTGCATACTAGAGACGTACCGATGTATCGGTATCGGCTAAATGTGAACCGATATTTTTCGCTTTTTAATCCGATGCAGAATGTTTCAAATAAGAGTTAGAATACGACTGTTGAAATTATTTTTTGCATGAAAAAAATCATGTTCGGGGTATTTGCTTCATCAACTCTGAGCCACGCTCGTCCACACCTCTGCGAGTAGAAAAGGGAACAGGATTCTGGACCTGTTTTTAGCTATTTACCACCAAACTAGCTCAACTAATTTGGCTATTTTTGCTGCCAAATTTTTACATTGACATTTTTATTATGATATGGTAATTATGTAGAATTATATCGATCGAATATTATTGATTTCACAATGTGCAAAATACGACGTTCTATTGGCACAAAATCCCGCACACTCAGCTCAATATATCAATTTGATAGGATAAGAAAACATTTATTTATTTTACCATTCATAGTAACCAAACCCTAGAGGTTATCTAATTAAAAACCGAGTTTCCGAGCGCGGTGCACAACGCATCTGGATAAATTAATGCATCTGAATCTGAATCACAAACAGCAATCTCTTATTCTCTGGAATATCTCTTTTAGGTAATATTTACATAGTATCGGTATCGATATTTTTTTCGATGGTATCGGATCGAATCGGACCAAATTAATATCGTGATAGGCTAACTCCTATCTACAACATCTAGGGTAGGGTTGCCACTTGCCATACGTCAGATTTTCCCCTGATATGCCCGGGATTTTAGTGGGCAAATTTGCGTCAGGGAAAAATGTTAAAAAGTACTTAAATGTCAGGGATTTTCGAATACAGTGAATCCCTACTACAAATCCCCGAGTTTTCAGATATTGCGCATCCACGAAATCCCATTTTTTCAGAGATGTGTCACATGCAAGCGTTTTTGTGCAACATGGATTGCGTCAAATCCAGATAATTGTGATCACGTGCTAGGGTATTCCGTGCTAAGGTTTAATCCTGACATGGGCAAACTACGGCCCGCGTGCCAAATCCGGGCCGCTGGATAACTCAATCTGGCCCACCGGGCGCTGCCGCAACTAAGCCAAGCCACCATGTTTCTCCGAAAATAAGACTGGTTGTTATTTCAATTTTCTTCCGAAAAATAACACTATGGCTTATTTTCGTGGATGTAGGCTATTATATTTTCATTTATCAAATACAAAATTACAAAGTAGAAAAGTACGGGATTTTCAAATCTACAAAATATGAAATCCATTTACTTATAAATAACACGTTTTTATTCAAATTAACTGCAAAACATAGAATATAAATCATTCAAACGTGTAGAAGAGATTTCTTACTATCGACTAGGTCAAAAAAAAAATCCGCAGCATTGGCTAGGTCTTATTTTCAGAGTAGGGCTTCTATTAAAATCATGTTTAAAATTCAGGCTTGGTCTTATTTTTGGAAAGCACGGTAAAACCAATTTTCGATGTTTCAGCTAAAAAAAATAGCTCAATGAATTAATTGGTTGAGATTGCGATTGAATTTAGTTTTGGCACGCGGTTTGTTTTTCACTTTCGCTTTTGTAACCCCTAAATATTATTCATAAAATGTAACTTTTTACGTCACATTTACATGGCCCGCCAGAGTATAGAGGGCAAAATTTTTTGACTCTGGACTAAAAATCTTGCCCACCCCTGGTTTAGTCACTATAGTGCTATAGGTAAAGCAACAATTTTGCTCCATTCGTTTTGTTCTGTATTTATTCTATTTTCACGAGAAAGCAACGGCAATTTGTGCCTTTGGATATATCGTGATTTAGTACTATAATACTGTATACACACCCAGTATAATTGTTTTGGTTCCAAATAGGTCAACGTGGCTTATTAAAATTTTGTCAGGGATTTTTTCTTTACAGATATTGTAACACTAATCTAGGGGGAACGACTTGGGGGCATTCATTTGCATTTAGTTACTATAAAAAGAGTCTACCAATAGCTTTAACAAAATTAAGCACATGAAATTAAATTTTACTATCTGGTAATATATATATATATATATATATGTGTAAACCAGACCATGTGTAAGGTGATGCTTCTAAGCTTTTATAGTATCCCAACCGACTTTACGAATCAATCGCTGAGAAGATTGACATCTGCCTATAATTTGAAACGAATTTTTTATTGTCAAATTTGAAAAGCTGAATGACCCGAGTGATTTTAAGAGATGATGGAACATTTTCGAGTAATAGTGAGGAATTGAAGAAGAATTTGAAAGCCATGGTGCAATTATATCTGCAAATAATTTAATTAAAGGGGGCTCAAACGTTTTCTGGTCCTACAGTTTATTTATCTGTATCATTGGAAAACTTAGACAGACTGGGCCTAATTTTTGAAAAGAACATGTTCAATTCAGTTGCGATCTTTAGTTTATCTCTAGTTAAACAGTCGTTTTCAGTATTGATCGACGCTGGCTCTCTTCTTTCTGTGGTTTTACTGAGTGCACCTCCGTCGTTAAGCTCATGAAATTTGTTATTTTGGAAGTTATATTTTCATGTTTGTTTTAATTTATTTAGCTAATATTTAAATTAGATTAAATTATGTGTAATTACTGGAATAAACTGACTCATTGATGTTCATTACTGCTGCGATAATGCAATAAAGTTAAAGCAACAAATGTTGGATGAACTATTTGGGATCGGGCTTTTTATGTATTTCCGGTGTTACCGCACATTGTATCACACGATATCACTCTATATCAGGTGATAGCACCAGCTATTATCTGCAGCAATCATAAACAGATGTCTATCCATTTATCGTATTTGGTAATGCTGCTTCAGCGAGGGCCGGATTTAGACGTTAAGAGGCTCCCACGAAAGCAAAAACGAAGTAGTACGTATATGCAATCTGTCACTGTAGACTACCAGGCACGAGTTCACAAAATCAAAACGGAAGACAATAATCACGCTGTCATAAAAACGCGTTCCCAGGAACAAAAATAAACCACTGAATTTTTGATGAAATATCAGATATCATCAGGAAACTTAGAAACAAATTAAAGTGAAAAACGAATTACATAGAGCCAATAGAAAATTTGAATAAATAAAAATAATAGCCTCCCAGTGGCAACAACAATCCAAGTTTTTGTTTTTTCCTTATACACCTAATATATATACCGTACTAACATGTTTAGCTACGTAAACAAAACCATGCCTAAAGCGATGATTCATTTCATTTGACCTAGAAGTGTGTTTTCAGACACGTATTGTAAGTCTTCTGCGATTGTTATCTGATGGATCGTCAACTGTGTGACCAATGTCATAAGCACATGGCCATCACACGGTTTTCTCAATCTTGCTCAATTTGTTTGTACTGATTTTGCAATTGTGATTTTGAAAACTACCAACAAGAAGATTTCCGAACTTGAAAACCTGACCTAAATCGATCGCACCGAATTGCTCCCATGCTTGGCTGAAATGGTGGCTATATTGTCACGACAAACTTTCTTTTTCTTGGCTTCAAATTTGCTTGACTTCGTTCGTGCTTCGTCATTTGAGTTGAATTTTTAAAGAAATGTTTTTCATGACATTTTAAGGCGACATCGACAAATGTTGTATTTCCAGTTGATATCAAAGCATTGAGTACATTTGAAGGTGACATTTTTTCTTTTTGCATTATAGTGATTTCCTCCAGGATTTGATTTGTCAATTCTTGTGGATTTCCTGCGTTAAATAATTTTTTATAATTTGTACCGTTCACATACTTGCACAGTTTCTGTTACAATAAGTATGTGTACGAATATGGAGGTAACTAATTTTGTTTGTCTATTTTACATCAAGTTGTGTAAGTGAAGGGACTGGAACCTATGAGCAGGGGGGTATTCACTTGTCTAACACAGGTAGCCTCCGAACTCGTAATGGAACTAAAATAATGAGAGAAGTTGGAATAAAATTATGGCCTAACTCTAACCTGGTTCACATACTACGGGAGTACCTTCGTTTCAATGAGATATCAAATACTAGCAAAAACGTGTATAACAAACTTCCAATGAAGAGTCAAACTGTATACATGGTCGAGCCATAATTGTTTACATCAGACAATTTTCAGTATCATCTTAAACAATTTTTCGTATAAATTACTTGGTTGTTCAGTTTTAACATTAATTAAAATTCCGACTAGGCCACTCCAATACAATCTAAATAAAACTAACCTTTGCAGCGTTTCTTGATAGAATTAATTTGTTTTTGACTTAATCCAAACGTTTTAGCAATTATCAACGCTTCTGAAGAACTCATAAGATCTTCGAGTGCAAAAAGCATTGACCTCGCTGTAAATATTAAAATACTCATTTACCGTCACTGGACAATTCTAGGCCAGTCAGTCGGACAGTAGTTTATTTTTTCACGTACTAAAAATACAACAGTGTATACAAAGTGTGGAAAAAAACATTCCAGCGTCGAGGGCGACTCGATAAACCAGTAATGGGTATCGAGCAGTGTCACATATAAGGTAATCCAACATAAAATCATTGTAGGATCAAAAAAAAGAAAGCCGAACAATATTCACCAACAGAAGTCGTCATTTCAAATACGTTTAAATAAGCGATCTGATGTTTCCAGTATCGCTCATCGCATTGGGAGAGAACAACCCCAGACACGACACACATGGCAACCACAGTTCATGGAATAACAAATGGACGGTTGCTAGTTTTTCGTGCCCGGTACGGCGTTTGAGTAGACATTCCCAGGAACCACACACGATCTGAGAGGTTTATGAAATATAATTCCGTTTGGACCACATGTTAGCCCGGTACCCTGCACTGACAAGGTACATGGTGACATCAAATGATGAGAAGCTAATTTTAGGACTGATAATTGTTTGCAGATATAATTTTATGTCCTGTGCGGTGTAGTTTAAGGTGCAAAGATATTGAAACTGATATAAACTCTTTATAAACTCTTACATTTGCTACGTGTGTAATGCGCAAAACTACCCGAAATTATGATCTTGCAACAATGATGAAACATCAAGGTTCTTATTGATTCAGTCATTGTTTGAAACTAATGCTCACATTGTTCCTTTTCGTAAAAGGGGTGTTACCCGTTCAATAAAAGGTTCACCATTTCTGAATCGTACAGGCATTCCGGGTTTATAAACAGTTTACTCGTGTGAAATCGGAAGCCTACATAATATTTTATAGAGAGCAAAATGTTAGTTTGTTTTGATTTTATAGTCGTCATAAAAATATTGTAGTTAATGTTAATTCTAAACATGAATACAAACCTGTTGCAATGCCTTCCCTTGTAGCCTTACGAGATTGATCAGATGTTTCAGATTCGTAATATTCGTTCTTCGTCAACGCATCCGAAAATTTAATTGAGTAGGAATAACCTAATTTTGATGACGACTTTCCACAAACCCAATAATATGTCATGCCCAGTCCAATATGACGCAATTTTCATTAAAAAATTCATACGGGTATAATACTTCCATATATATCAATAAATGTCATCGTTGTGAGCGTTAATTAAAGAAAATTATACTACTAATAATACTACATATCAACTATACATTTAGGCTGTGTGACCCTCATTTACCAATAGCGCACACGTTTGCACCAAACAAGATGAATTACTGGAATATAATATGCTTATAATGTATGTTTCCGACATTGCAATTTAAATTGATACAACGTTGCACAAATATCACAGATTTATCCCAAATAAGTTTATTTTGAAGGCGCATTAGACTAGCTGTCAACTTTTGGACTGCAGAACTGTTCAAAAATAAAAAGTATTCGCTGATTGGACTTTTTATCCAACTTGATAGTAAAACTCAACTACATTTACAATAGCAAATTGAAATGTTAGTCGTTGATTTGTGATAATTTTGCATTATCACTCTATAAGCGTAGCAGCACTACCAGAATCATTAGGAAAACGTACAGTAATTTCAAGTGTACTCAAATTATTTCATCAGATGCTAGAATACAACTGCAAAAACTGATTCAATTTTTGTATAAATATAAATAAATTTTATAAAAATACCAACCACTTTGCTTAGTACCTTTATACCACGAGCATACCAGGTGGCTTCTGAATGTTTGAAATAATAACAATACGTGATATATGAATAAGTTTTTCATTGGCGAAACTGTAGCCAATCGGTCTACTGGTTCTGAATAAACCAAATTAAACGGTAACAATGCAACCACACCTTAAATTAACGTTACACGATGGTGTAATATTCATAGGTTGGTACTTACTTCTCTTATTAGATTCTTTATATAAAATAATAATTACTTTTAAATTTCGATATTTGCTTGCATTATCAAACAATAAAAAGTCAAAATTATAAAAGACCAGGGGTCGGCAACCTTTTGTCGCTCGCGGGCCAAAATTAATAGTTGTGAGTCTTTGCGGGCCGCACATATTTTTAGAAAGTTAAAGACCGAACGAATGGCCAATGAATCATAATTTCTTCACACAGATCAGAAGTGGAAACTTTAAATTTTGAGCAGCTCGTAAAAACTGCGACAACTCGTGAACTCATCTTCGTCGTCTTATTCAAAAAAAAATATTACAAATGACATTTAATGTGACACTTTTTGTTGCATCACGCTTGATACGTTTTCGACATAACTAGATGGGAAACAATTTGCAATTGGTACACTGGATGAAGCCAAGATTAAAACATTTTATAAATGGGAATCACTCATCCGAGTTTTCCGCTTGTTCTTTGTAATGTTCAGTTTCGAAAATAATATTTCGCATGCATATGTACTCCCAAATATTAATGTGAATTTTCCCGCATGGTTCGTCCAATTTGGATAGAGTTTTCCTTCAAAAAGATACCTTTATAAAAACCAAGTAGTAATTCATCTGACAAATAAAATATAGATTACTACCACTAATATCTAACGATATCTTGAAAAATGTCTCCACAGACTAACTTCGCTGTAGAAGCGCGCAATATCATCAATCTCGATCGAAGTTCGCTTGGAAAAAGGATATATATATATAATATATATAAACGTCGGCTCATTAGTGAATCATTCACGAATAGAGCGAACTAGCGTTAAAAAAGACGTGCGAGTTTGTGTCTCACTACAAATACACGGAATCGCCTTTTAAAAAAGCAGGTGTTAAATTGTGTTCTTTTATGCTCTGTATCCAAGGTTCTATATCGATTTGGAAAGATGGGGAATTTTAGTTACGGTACTATTGTTATTGTCGACGAGTATGGTATGGTTGCTGAATTATCTCTTTCAATCTAGAACTATGTATTTAATTATTATAGATTGTTAAAAAAAACACCAGTTCTTTATGTATGCATGTTAATGTTGTAGTAGACTAGCTTCGCTTCCTTGGAAAAAAGGTAATTCTAATGCTACAATTAAATAGTAATTTGGCGATACGAATATTTATGTCAGGGGTGGGCAACATTTTTTAGTATAAGATCCGCATGCAGCAAGTCAGAAATATGTGAGAGCCGCATAATTTTTGAAATTAATAATATTAGAATACCGTGAACTGAAAAGAACTTTACACAAGCGTATAATAACAATATTGCAAAGTATATATACATATTCTTCAACCGTTTAATGAATTAAACAAACTGTTACGCTACAGTTTCTCTTAGTTAAATTTGGATAATATATAATTATTGGCAGCGGGAAGAGCCGCATAATAACTCCTGATGTTGTCGGGGATGCCGAACGGTTTAAAAGCTCCTCTGTCGTCAAGGCCTTTGCCATATTATGAACAATTACAAATCCGGATGTTAACCATGACATAAGTGAGCACTTCACAGGAACGGACTGTCTGTATCTTCAGACCTAGAATTTTGGATGCTCATGGTGGATTTTGATATCATTTAACATTCCAAATTCTCATTCCAACTCCTGTGAAAAAGTGGAAGCTAAAAGCATTCCATGACCAATGTCATCAAGGAGTGGAGAAAATTAAGCCATATACTCACACCACGGATTTCCCTGAATTTTTGTGCTTGAATAATATTGAATTAAATCTGTATTCTAGCACACAAAAATGTAGCTATCCGATATTGTGAGCAGCTTATTTATGTACACCCAAAGACCCAAAGTAAGTATATGTAGGAAGTAAGCTCAAGGACATAATTATACATGCATTTATTGAGCAATCATCATTCGGATAGGAATAATTGAGATAAATTTTGAAAAAAAGTTTTGAATATATCTAAAAGATGAAATCAATGCCTCCATAATCCTCAAACTTTTTTTTCTTCTTTTTCCTTGCGCTGCTCATCGACTATTAAAATTCAACCATGGATCATTATCCCTGAACTTACATAAGAAACAATACAACATGAATGTAGCCTTGGCCAACTTGTACTATTTGGAAAAAAAGCTAAGCAAAAAAGATTATGGAATATTTCACAATGCCAATGCTACAACAATGTATATTAGCTGATTGAAAAATTTCTTCATTCAGTTATATTATAATAAAATATAATTATTATATTATAATAAAACACTTGACAAAATATTATTAATCGGTAAAACAGGATATAAAAGCCGCCGAAAAATGCTTCGTCACATGATGTACTTCAATAAAATATAACATTCAAATATGCTGTCTTAAAGAACATCAGAAATTACTAATTCGTCAGTGCATTAACCTCACCAATGGCATATATTGAAATTGCAAATAACAGTTTTATTAAAATATTAAGACTTTTAGGTATAGCTCACAAAGTATGTTTTTCACTTTACCATCTAGAATGAGTGTCCAACAAGCAGATTCACACATAGCATAATGGATAGCTGCGAAACAACATTCTGCAATAAGATGTCATCAATGCCAGTATCTTTCACATTCAAAATTGTAAGATAACAGTCGTGAAAATCTACTCGCAATATTATGACTATATGACTTGGTACTAGGGATGGGACGAGTCCGGCATTACAGAGATTCGACGAATCCGAGTAATAGGTCAAGGACTCGAATCGATGTTCCTCCAAGTCCTTGACGTCACAACTCACAATGTAGGAATGGAAAAACACGTTTTTGACCATACTACAGCATTGCGCGCTCCCAAACATACGACGAAGCTCATATTTTTTGCCTAATGGTTCTGCAGATAGCTGTTGAATCAATTTGAAAATATATTTTTCGTTTTTTTTGGCTGCCATAATACAAACGTAAACATGGGTCAATGTGCGCCTTGGCTGTGAACTGGATTTTCAGCCCACCACCTTGCGTCAATTCTGGGCGGATATTTAGAAATTCTAACATGTCAAATAGAAAAATAAAAAGCTTTTGACTACAATGCTTTCTCATAATTCCAGATATTTCTAACCTTAAATTTACTATGCCGCGTGTGCAAATGGTAGAGAGATACCACTTGTCGTTAAATACAATGCTTGCAATTTAGTAGTTCATGTAAACGTTCATGCTTTCCATTGCTCCCTTTTTGGAGAAAGGATTGCACGTAATAAACTCGATTTAAAAGAGGTAATGATGAGATTCCCCCTTGGGTTAATCCTGCGCATGTTTCATATTTATTTACGCAAATCGAAAACTCAAAAATATTGCGCTAACACATATTTTATTGTGCACCACATGTATACCAAAAAGAATAGATAGTTTGAAGGCGACTGACGCATCATTGTTATAAGCTGTCAATAGTTTTTACCTTGCGTTATATTATCTGGATATCTGTCGTCGTTTTTATTTTTAGGAGTTACACACGAGTGATATTATTAAATATCTAACCTTGAATTTCAACTAGTTAAGGTAGATAGTGAGATTTATAGGGGTAAAAGTACAAACATAGGCGTAAATTAGTAAAAACAGATTTGATTATAAACTCGGTAAAAACGACGTGGACTCGAAATCGAATCCGGGTCTAAAAAATGCCTGGATTCGGCTCGAGTCCGGATCCGAAATCCCGGCCCATCCCTACTTGGTACCGGAAGGGAATGATAGGCTGGAATACACTTGCGCTCACTTTTCAAACAGGTAACAGGTTCTCAGGTAACAGATTATTTTGCACAGTGGACGGATGGCAGGGAAGGGAACTTTGGCTAGATATCGTATTCTGAACTGCAGGATGTTGTGATTGAGAATCCTGATTAGTTAAAATTTCATTGACCTGTGGATTGTTATGTTGATTTTCGACTGGTATAGTGTCGCCCGAAGAATGACCAAGATCATTAGTTTGTAATAACTGATGCGGATTTAACAAAAAAGATACGTCAGGATCTTCTGTTAAATCATCCATCAAGTTCTGGAGTCTGCAACAAAACATACTTTTATACGAACAGTAAGAACTCATCTTTGCATCAAAAACTAACACTATATGAAAAGTGGTGCAAAAAATCATTTTGGATTATAATAGTGGGAAAAACAGCACCAAAACAAAAATGTATACATGTGTAAATAAAATATTCTTCACAATGAATTCTTTTGTTCCAAATAAATATTTTTAAATATGAAATAACCTCATAATAGTTAATATTAAGTTCTTGTGTGTAGAACTTCTTTAAACAAGTACTTACCTCAAACCTTCCTGATTTACAGAATATCTTAAGTCATAGTCAACATCATGTTCATTAGCGAGATTATAAACATCCTGTAAAATAGTGTGAATTTCACAGTTACATCACACTAAATTATATAAGGAAAAAAGACACGAAATATTAAGGAATATAATTTATTTGAGATAAATAGCTGGGAAAAAACAGAATCTCATGATGAAAAAACTCCTCTGTGGCCATAAAGTAAGGTACCAAGTATGTTGCATGCAACCTGTCTGCATTGCAACCTTGCACCTTTCATCTAAAAACATCATCTAAAAACACTACTTCAAGAATAAATTGGAGTCGCGTAGATACCAATGAGAAAGCATGAAGCGGTACAAAGTTAACTACATTGAAAACTGCTCTGACAGTTTCACCAATAATCAGGATGCAGCGTAACATGAAAGTGAAAGTGGCTTAGTATTTGGGGTGTTTGCTTGCATGTCAAAATCTCAAGATAAAACATTGAGCCCACTAACTCACCAAAGGTGTAATGAATTGAGTTGACTATAAAAGTAACATGAAAAATTTTGGCTCATACAAAAAGACGCAGCAATTGTGCTTATAACTTTTTTAAAGATGTGAAACATCTGACAAAAACATCAAAAATACAGTAGAACTAAGAAATCGCCACAGGACATGGCTCCAAATAAAGAGAATTTTGTACTGACTCTCGATTCAAAATTTTATTCTGTTTCAACAGGATGTTAAATAAACCAGAGGTGAATTCAACTCTATAATACCAAGAAAAATGATGAAAAAAAATTTGTAGGCAAAATCCTCGCTTTTAGTGAGTGCATCAAGTATGTTCCGAACAATATTTTAAAAAAGCAGTATAACAACTAAAAAATAAACCACCTTCATGTGCTGTAACATATTCCACAATGAATGTTGTCGACTTTTTTGTTTTTCCTGAACTTCACTCAGTAAACAGCCATATTCCATTGACTTATTCTGAATTTTAAACAGTGTTTCTTGTAAGGCTGTGTGACATTTTACAAAGGACCTGTATGAATACAATAAATTCAAGATTCAGGAATGAAGGAATCAAGAAATATGAACAAAAATTAGCACTCAGCCTCTCTACTTCCTTTTTCGTGTTTTATGTTTCTAAGCAGTACTCAAAAATTATCTTCAAACAGTAAGCTTGGACCTCAGATGTAGTCGAAGCCATCTGCTGATCAGGAATTAGTCATGAAGCATATGGTAGCGAAAGTTTGATTGATATAATAAAACATTTAACAAGTACTGGATAGCATTCCACAAATTTCAATCCACCATAAAAGCAAAGGGTGGACAATGGAAAATTTGGATTCAACTAATGCATGCACTAGCTTCTGCATCGTTGTGCTTATTGGCAGCCTGTTATTAAATTTTGACTGTTGAAAAAATATAACCTGTTTTTGAAGTTAAATATACATTGGGAGCTGTTCAAACCTTGCAGAAAACGTTTTTCAAATTATATGGACGTATGAATTAAACATAGTTGATAGCTTTAAACTTCCAGTTTTGTTTCTTTTTTCAGATTTCCCTATTGTTTTTATTTCTTTGTGAAGTGTTTATGAGAAAGCAAAATAAACTTATTTCCTTTCTATGAAAGTGTAATATGTGAAAAATATCATTATAACATTCCAAGTACATATAGCAATCATTTGACGAGATTTGGTAATCTACTGAACCAACTAACCTCATAGCTTTAAAAAACTTCTTTTGATTATTCAAAATATCTTGTACATATTTATGTACAACTTTCCAATGTGCGTTAATTAATGTCTGAAGTTGACTCTTCCGATGAAGCTTTAATCTCGTACCTGAAGAATAATAAGGATGGTCAAATATTGCAAATAAACAATATTTTGATTAGTTTTCTACCTTTCTTACAATTTTCAGGAAATAAATAAACGCAGTCCAAAACGAGGAACAATTTGCTAAATTTTTCAAATTTAACAAATCCAAATTATTCCTATTTTGAATATAATCAAATCCAAATTTATTTGATTTCTTACAATTTTCAGGAAATAAATAAACGCAGTCCAAAACGAGGAACAATTTGCTAAATTTGTTAACAAAACCAAATTATTCCTATTTTGAATATAATCAAATCCAAATTTATTTGAATATTCTACTAGCTTTGGAGATCCTAGACCGCCTAATACCTTATTTCAAAATGATCAATATCTCCAATGGTGGAAAATTCAACTGATTTAATATTCGAAAAAATGTTCCATTTCAACGATCTAAATCAGGGGTTCCCAAACTTTATTGGCCGCGGGCCAAAATTAGAATCGCAAAGATGTTCGCGGGCCAGAAGAATGTAGCGCCCAAAACTTTCATTTGACATTTTTTTGAAACATGCTCGTTTGACTCATAATAGCGCTCAATGTTGTATACCTTCAGAACTGGAATAGTTCGTTGGCAAAGTAGACAAATCTGTAAAGTTTGATACTTTTCAATGAAGAAATACGAACACTGCCATTTATTCAAGAAACGTCAGTTTTCTGAGTCAAGTTTTCGTTTGATTTCTGACATCTTTAAGCTTTCCTATATGGCTGATAACTAAATTACTGTCCTTTGTAATTCTAACACCTGTACCCATAATTGATATACTGGTATAATTGAATTGTTACGATAAACACGTGCTTGAACTCTGACAATGACATAAATTAGCGGTATCTAGATCGCAAAAAGGTAGAAATAAAATCTGTTGAACACTATTTCACGTAAGCTCGGCGGGCCATTTTAAATCATTACACGGGCCGGATTAGGCCCGCGGGTCATGGTTTGGGAACCCCTGCTCTAAATCCACATAAAAGTATTGGAGATTTGGCATTCCATACTACACAGCAATACCGATTTTACGTACCGTAAATCTCAAGTGCATGAAAGCATTTCAAATTCATTAAATATTACATTATTGCATCTATACAATATAGTATTGTGATACTTTTATCTGCGATTCATTTCATCTGTTATACTCTGCCATATTTCTTTAGAAATTAGATTATTCTTTCAATGCAATCAAGTTTCAACGAGAAATACTAATTCAATAACCTGTTCATTCAAAAACTTCATGCTAACAAAATGAATTTCAAACCTAAATCATGATGATTCGTGGGTGACTTTCCGTGACTCTTTTCCATTCTTTTACATTCCCTGCGAAAGTTATCATAAAATTCCATTGACTCGGTCTTCCTGAAAATATTAGAATAAACACTATTAATTTTGTTTCAAAAGTTGAGTATCTGAACTTTGGCAAAAGAAGGACTAACAAAACGCATCTTTTCAAGAATAATTTTCATATTACCTAAACATTTGTAAACAGACTCATGGGGAAAGTAATTGTGAGAATGGTATAATCATTATGCAGAAACTTCAAAAAGAATTTGTATTAGAGTTGTTCTGGAGAAAATGACTTCTGCTTGAGAGTGGTATGCGAGAAGTAATCTTACATTCGATACTGACGTTCACATTTCTAAAAAAAGCATGTAGTCACAAAATTTCCTTCTTGCAAAATTACATTCTCCCAATAGAATTTTGTGAAAATGAAACCAACTGATATAAATACTATTAGAAAAATTGTAACTATTAACAGTTACTAATGAATCGTGTATTCTCAGCACTGTGCCACGGATATCGAGACTCAAAACTTTTCACGAATAAAAAGTGAAAATATATGCATCAAGGCCAAGCTTAGTCATTGAAGCAGGTTCTTAATAGGTTTTATAATAAACCTTAACATACAAAAATAAAATTTGCAAATTTGTTGATTCATATGAAATGGAAACCTACTTGGCTTGCAAACGGTCATTCATATCTTTCAGATCGTTATTGAAAGCTGAGTAGTGAGAAGAATTCCTGATGTTCTGCTGAGCTTCTCTGATAATTTGATGTCCCACTCGTAGCTGTTTTTTCTTTTCCTCGATATCTTGCAATATTTTATCACAATCTTGTTTAAAATTTTCGTTTACTGGAAATAAGTTTGTGTAAAATTGATAAGTTGAATATGCAAAGATTGACTAAACCACAGTAGCTTCTCTCAAATGAAGCATTCCTTAACAAAAAATTTCTGCTATTTATGTGTGCTATGTAGTGTCATGTCCTAATAATGGTGAGGTTAAACCTGACATGGGCAAAATACAGCCCGCAGGCGAAATCCTGCCCGTTGGGAAATTCAAACTGCCCCGCGCGATGCTGCCACAATCAAACTAAAACCAAATTTTGATGTTTTAGCTGAAAATAGCTTAAAGAATTCTTTGAGATTGCAATTAAATTTTGTTCCGGCAAGAGACTTGTTTTTCGCTTTTTTTTGTAACACTATGAATATTCATAAAATGTTATTTTTTATGTCACACTTACATGGCCCGTCATGCTAGGTGGGCAAAATCTTTGGCCCCTGATATAAAAACCTTGCTCACCCCTAGGTTAAACCAATTTGAGTGCTGACACAAAAGATACCTCATAGTCTGCAAATCTCAGTTGAAAAAACCAAGGATAGGATTAGGCATATGTATCTTGAGGGAGAGGAAAGTGATTACACGGCTTATTCATATGGCAAACCATGACCTCTCGTTCGGTCACCAGTCCATGTTGGGTATCGGACGATATCAGCCAGTTATTTGTTCCAGATGCATAGACTTAATGGTGGAGGAAGCCATAACCTACCAGTGGTTACGCTAACCAACCTACAACAGTGAGCAGTCCAATACATAGCTACACCCACAGAATTCAAACCTGTGAACCTAAAAATGGTAAACATAGGCTCGATGACAAGCATATTCCTAGGACATTGTGCCAACCGCTGAGCCAAAAAAGAAAAAGTGTTGAATTATCTCAAAAAATGGTTTTTAATCAAGAGTATTGTAGCAGTTTTTTATCATAAGATAATGAGGAACAGCTACACTAAGGTTAACAAAACTATTACCACATATTCCAGCTGAATTGTCCTGAGCTGCATTTTCCTCAACATCTGTCTTCAGAGATTCAGCAAAGAATTCTAGTTTTCCTTCTATTTTATATGTTTTTTCGGTAAATTCTGAAAAAAAAAAATCATCAGATCTTCAGATTACCAGAACTGCAGTAAAACAGCGCAAATTTTTATTCTAATTGAGACACTATAGCATGTAATAGGCAAAAGCAGTATGAAATAAAAACTACATTTCTAACAATGAAAAAATAACTAAAATACCCACTTAGTCGATGATAAAATCACAATAAGTAGAACAGTACAGTAAAGTATACCTTTCAACTTTTCTTCCAAACTACTTGAGAACGTTCCCACAACGCCAAGAAGAGAACAAAAAGCATTGTGAAACATAATTCCAGTTCGGACTTTGGATATGACATCGTTAAGGGTGATTTTTAATATGTGCTTTTCATCTTTTTCTGACCTTTCAATCTACAAAACGGACAAATTATAAATTTTCACAAAAACAGAATATCAGAGAATGATTCATATATTAAAAAATTGGTACTCCCGAAGTATGTGAACCAAGATGGCGAACGCCGGAACGTAGTATGTGTAACAGGTTGGGATTATACCATAATTTTAGGTACAAATACTACGGTAGTCACTTGGCTAGTCCCTGAACTCACAATAGAACAAAAACAGGAAAATTGGACTAAAATTATGGCCTAACCCTAACCTGGTGCTGGTAAACATACTCCGTTCCAGTGTCCGCCATCTCGGCTCACATACTTCGAGAAAACCGAAAAATTTAACCAATATTAAGAATGTAAATCAAAAAATTCTGAATACTTCTTCAGAAATTGCGAACAAAGTACTAACACTCTTTGCCATGCATGGATGGAACATGTTAAAAAGGTTTATCAGAACGATTACGCAACAATAAAATAATCAGGATAAAAAGAGATTACATTTGTGTTTGCAATGTATTGTTGAATCTGCTGCGGTATTTCTGCAATGTAATGTTGACTTTCTCTATCTGATTTATTGAACAGATATATCACTGCATACTCCGGCGACTAAAATAGGAAAAAAATAAAAGCCTTATAAATCATAATAGGTTAAAGAGAGATGCCAGTTCATGAACAACTAAACATAATAGGTTGATATAAGAGTGAATCAAGCATGTCCCTGGCATTTATGTAAATGCTTGGTCAGCAGTTAACTCTACTATCTCGCACTTGTTTACAGCAGCACTAATAATTACAAAACTTTTTTTTAAATTTCTCTCTTCTCAACGCGCTAGGGTGATTGCGCCGCGTGTCTCAAGTGGCGATTAGTGCAAAGAGACGTAAACTGGCTTTCCAACAAGACTCGAGTGAAGTTTCTCGCACGTTTGAACAATAAGTTTGACGTTTTTTGGAAAAGTATGAAAAGTTGCTTAGGACCATAGGAGAATAGGTGTTAACGTCGTTTGTTTTACATGTTTAACCTGTAAACCTTGATCTGAAATATATATTTTGAAGTTAAAAAAACCCAGTTTAAGATGAAATGTATTATTTGTGGGCAATGTTGATTAGGATATTATAGTTATGAATGTTGGGGTCTTGTGTAGTTCGCACTTCAAGTACTCCTAGTGGGCGTAGCATAACGATTTTTGCACATGTCAATCCTAACCCCCATCTGACTACGCCATCTAAAAATTATGTCACTACGACGTCACAATCACATCACAGAGCTAGCCCAAGTATACCTACGACCGCCCGAAATGGCATCTGCACCGATGATAAAAAACTCACTAATGGCAGCGATCTCCTTCATATCGGGATCGTTGCGACGAGAAAACGAGAGGAATAGCTTGCTCGATTTCGAGTTGTCTGCGCATCTTGGATGACATTTTGTATAGTTTGAAGGGCTTTATTACGTCACTGACACTCACTGTGACATAATTTTTGAATGGCGCAGTCAGGTGGGAGTTAGGATTGACCTATGCACTTAAAAAATACCAATTACAGTATATCTTACATGAGGATTGACTTCTCGGAGTTGATCAAGAAGTCTCTTTGTGCTGATGGGAATTTTTCCAGTTTCAAATACTAAAAGTTGTTGTGAGATTGGTATGATAGTTTCTTTTTCAATCTCAACATGTACTGATCTCAAAAATGAATTCTCACTGATTTCAAAAGTCAAAAGTTTCATGTTTGAAACGTTCAGCACTCTGACATACTAAAATCATAGAAGAGTAACGTAAAAATGCATTGCATTAGTAAAATAAAAATAATTTGAACAGAATGAACTGTCAAAATATTTTCACTTGAGACTAAGTTTGAAAATGGAAAATCCGGTGAATGTTTTCAAAAATACGATCTATAAAACAAATTAAAGAATAAATGAGTAATTAAATTTATAAAGTAGTTGTCATTATAAGATTCACTGCGCCTTTATAATTTAATTTAAACATTTAATTAAAACATTTAACGTTTGGATTTTTACCAATGACACTTGAGTAAGAATTTGCCAATTCAATAAGACATTAAAATGATACAATGTGAAAATCAAATTCCCTTCACAAATTTCCCTTCTTTATAATAAAAAGTATTAATTATCCGTAAAACTCAAAAACAGAAAGCTTTCAAATAACAAATAAATTTCAACATTTGTTGAATAATGTTATCCAGGCGCAAAAAGACAGAACTCTGAACTTGTCAATAAAAAAGTCACCTTCTTAGGTAAGATAGTATCTGTGAGCAATGTGTACCACTCTTTGCCACCAACACCACCTCGTCTTTTGCCATCCACCCTTAGCATTAACTGGAGCCATTTAACAACATCCCTGGCAAAATATTCATTCAGGGAATGAGGAGAAGGAATATGATCACAGAAATGCTTTTCATCTGATAAAATAAAAACACAGATCATTATGGGCTCATTTGAACACTGCAACATTGAGATTGGCATCATTTCCTTTTCATTGCGGTCGAGGTTCATTGGGGTTGGCCTCATTTCCTTCATAATAATGATTAATAAGCACAAGGATGGCCAAAACCAAATAACTTAACAGTACTACTCTAATACACACATATGAAAGAAATAAAATTTGGCGAATAGAAGTTAAGGCGGTCCAGAAGTATGTGTACCAGTATGGAATTAACTAATTTTGTTCGCCTACTTTACATCAAGTTGTGTAAAGGAACGGAAGGCTATGGGCAGATGGACAGTCCCCGAATTCGTAATTAGGGCTGGGCATTTTCGAATACCTGATGATTTCAGAATCGAATCGAATAATTTTTTTCGAATCGAATCGAATCTCGAATACTTGGAAGGTATGAAATTGTATTTAAATTTCTTAGTATTTTAGGTCCTCCAGACACATAAATTACTGAAAACATAGAATACATCACTGACAATAAAAAAACACGTTTTCATCAATACCTCAATACAGAAAAGAGTCACAAGTCAGAATTGTGTTGAAAAAATATGTCTTCAATGAAAAAAAATTGAGAAATTTACCTCGACTATTGGCAGAAAGAGTAAAACAAGATGGCGGTCATTCGAAAATTTACTCTAAACCGATTCGAATAATTTACGATTCGATTCGAATATTCGAAATGCCCAGCCCTATTCGTAATAGAACTAAAATAAGGAAAATTGGAATAAAATTATGGCCCAACCCTGACCTGGTACACACAAACTACGGGAATACCGGGAAAATATAAATAAACACCCACGTGTATTAGGAAGCAGCCAGGCACAGATATCTTCATCTCTTTTGTCTTTGACTAAATGAAGAGCTTGCATAGGTGGTATAGTATTGTGTTGAAAGAATGGACGATAGCCAGTAATGCATTCAAAAATGACGAGGCCAAAACTCCAATAATCGACTTGCGAATGATAATGTGGTTTGGATGACGGATTGTGCTCCTGACCAAATACAAGTTCTGGTGCCTGAGGAAGGAAGTGAATAATATTGAACAAATCCATATTCTGCTTGCCATATTATTCTAAAATTATAAGTTAAATATTTGTCGTAAGACATATTTCACATGTACCTGAAATTGTCATATTAATTTCACATAGTCATAGTAGGGGTTGAAAAATACACATTTGCCGATTGTTCATCAATTTGGTGTTATAAATGAGGAACAAGTTGCAAACTGGGTTTAAAAGGACATCAAAATTGCTCTAGGGCTCTTCCAAGTGACTCTACAAGTTAATTTCAGAAATTTTTGATATTGTTTCCAGAAGTTTTGGACGTTTCATTGTGTCGTGTTAAAAATTGTCACAATGGTACAGCAGAAGCCCACGATATTTTCGGGTGTAGTAACTGAACGACCCCTCTATATGTTGCTCCAGTTTATTAATAGAACACTGTAGATCCATGCCAATAATGTGCATGTTGTATGTGACACTAAGGGACATTTTTCCACTTTGGAACAGCGGTCTCTATAATCTCCCAAACTTCTGGTAATAAATCGTTAAATAGGTGACGGCATGTCCTACAGCCCTGCAAACACTTGAGATTTATTAATTTAGTCCAGTGCATGTATTCAAAATGAACTAACTGTACCAGACAATCAGACACAGCATGTCGATTGTCGATTACATCAAAATTTCAGGCCACTTTGTGTAAATCATCAAAAACATGGGTGAAATTTTCACTTTTTCGAAGAAAAAAAAAACAATTAATTTTTTTACACTTATTAAGAATATATATTAATAATATATTATAAGCAGGACTGCCATCAATATGAACGAAAAAATAAGGACATCTGGAAAACATAATAATTTATCGGTATATTCGTGTTTTGTCCAAAGCACTGATTCTTGACGATGTCATTAAGTTACGAAGTCGAAATTAACAAATGCTGAAATGCTTGGGGAGAAGACAGTCGCGCAGAATGGCAGAAAACTAAATCAGTAGGCTACTGCTACACTTATCAAGTCTATGACATATTAAATAATTCTTCGTCAACTGCAAAGCTCTGATTCACTACAGTATTTTGACTCACTCAAGTTACACCAACTGAAATTTGCCAATAGGCTGGCTATTAATGCTATTAATTACATCATGAATGTGCGTAGCAATCAATGAGGTTTTAATATCATTTCTATCAATCATTCGAATTGACCAATCCATGTGCTAGGTATAACAACCTCTATTCCCATACATTCAAAATAAGGACAAATCTTGGAAATAAGGACATTATGGCAGTATTATGGCAAGTATTTTATAATGAGAAATAAAGAATCAGTGAATGAATGTTTCTTCTTGAGGTTATGCACATCTTTAAAAAAATAAATCTGAGGTCACAAGTGGTTTACTCAGCATCTGTCATAGCTGGGCAGGAAAGGTTTGTTTAATTAAGATCAAATTCTGGTGCCTGTATTGCTTTGTTTACTCATGTTACCAATAGGTAGAAAATGCTCAATTTAGACTCGGTCAAGGCTGATACATGAATATAGTAAACTCTGCAAGAGTGATCCATCTATATGGATCATGCTTGACAAAATATAATAATTAAATTAACAAGTATTCAATAAATAACATGCCACATATGTTTGAATTTTCTGAGACCAAATACTTAATTTAAATATAAAAAGACATGGGAATTTTAGCTATGGAGTGATATTGAAATATACCGGTAATCATAATATCAATTAACTTAAATTATCAGTAAAAAGAGCTGAAGCAAAGTTGATCTCATTAAGTACAAGGGTAAAATTTATTCCTGTTTACAGTCCCCAGAACAGCTTTTATATTACTAAATCTAATTATACAAAAAAAAAGAAAACAGGCGCTTTTTAGCCATAAGAAATGCAACCAATGAGCTCTAAACACACAGATTAATACACGGGTAAGAGCATCGCTTCTCAAACTTTTTTGCTCCGGAACACCCACGCCTCGCAGAACACTAAGAAATTAGAATGTAAACGTCACGGGTGGTTTCAAAAAAATTCAGCCTATGGTAAAATTCAAGTTTGCTTGTAAACTTGACAATTAAAAAATTCTGCTGACGGTTAACAAAAATTCCATGCTTTCGAGGTTGGCAAAAGGGCCTGTCTGCCTCTCCGACACTAGTTAGGAGACAAATTTTCGACCCAGAGTCGCTGAAGTATGACCAATTTAATCACAATTTTAATCCCTGTTCCACGAAACGCTCCAAAGAAGCTCGCGGAACACAGTTCAAGAAACGCTGGTTTAGCCCATATTATATTATATGGCCGGATATAAATTTTATAACTTATAGTATAAAATGGCATTGAATGAAGCAAAAAAAAAATCAATAAAGGGATAGAGATACCTGTATCTCAATTGAGAGAAAAAATATAATACCCGGGAAAGATTATCTTCATTTGGATATAAAATTTTAAAGAAAATTCCAAGAGCATTAGGTAATCGCTATTTATCTGAGATGAGTAATCAGGTGTTTCTGAAATTGGGAAATTACCAGGGAATAAAAGAGGAACCTGTAGTTGCATAGGAGAAACGATTAAGCATCCTGTTATGTTTTAGATTTGTTGCTTGTGAAAGTCACTTTCACTTAATAACAAATTTTCAATGGACATAAATACTAAATAGTTTAAATTACAGAAATAAATGTCAGTTTAGTTGGATTTAAAATTTACAGATGGGATTTTATGCTAAAAAATACACAAACCACACACAAAATATATAATAATAGTTTCGCTCACTTTGAGGAAAATAATATTGAACATAAAAGTGAAAACACACATAGGTCTGAAAATATAGATGTAGCAAAATGTCTATATGAATTTTTGTGAAACCTTATTAGGTACTCCCGCAGTATGTGAACCAGGATGGCGGACACCAGAACGTAATATGTGTACTGGGTTAGTCTTAGGTAATAATTTTATTCCAATTTTCCTTATTTAGTCCTATTACGAGTTAAGGGACTAGCCAAGTGACTCCCATAGTATTTGTACCTGAAATTATGGCCTAACCCTAACCTGGTAAACATACTATGTTCCGGTGTCCGCCATATTGGTTCACATACTTTGGCAGTACCTATATACCTACCGTATATGCTTTACCGTCTCTTTTACTTGATGGATAAATTATAATTTATTACTCATAACAGAAATTATTACACTTACCAGGTATGGTAATGTTCCAACGAAGCTGATGGCAAAGCTATGCATACTGTTGTCAAGATCTTTCGCATACCCGAGATCAGTGACTTTAAACTGGTATCGTCCAGGATAGTCTGGTTTTGGTTTTAAAACGATATTTTCGGGCTTCAAATCTCTGCAAATATAAGTTGAATAAAATAACAACCTATACCGTATGTATATTCTGAAAATTTTTAACAAATTTCTATCTCAAACACAAAAATTTGATGAACTGGTACTCCCGTAGTATGTGTATCAGGTTAGGGTTAGGGCATAATTTTATTCCAATTTCCCTTATTTTAGTTCTATTACGAGCTCGGGGACTGTCTGTGTTAGCCAAGTGAATATACCCCCTGCCCATAGGTTTCAGTCCCTTTACACAACAATGTAAAATAGGCAAACAAAATTAGTTACCTTCCTATTGATAGATACTCTTCTGGAGTGCCAATTTTTGGGCTACCACCACCTTATTACTGTATCAGAATACTCAAATTAAAAAACGCCTCCATCACGAGTAACAAAACATTCGTTTATCAGCCAAACAACCGTCCAAATTTGATAGAAAATGAAAAACAACATTACCTGTGCATGTTGTTTTGCTGATGAAGATAATGAATTGCTGACCCAATATCACCTAAAACGTCTTTGACATGATGTTCAGGCAGACCGCAACAATATTCAGCCCTCGCCATCAACTGAACAAAAAATATACAAATGAATTCATTCTCAATAACCAAATTTGATAAATTATAATTTGATAACAGATAAGATGTTAACAATGGGCATTCTTACAACTCCCTTGCTTTTTTTTGTACGCAGTGTTCACCTGCTATATGAATTAAGTTACACAGATTCCAAAATAGAAGAGAAGAGATAGTTTACATGATAAAATTTAATATGGGTTACCAGGTTGGGAAAGCTAGTGATCACCTTTGAAATTAGGATGGGATTCAAATATCCTCTTGCACATAACTATCCCCGCATGGGATTCGAACCTGTGAACCCATGCAGGATAATCAGAGATGAGCGTAATCCTAATGCTTAGCATGGAGCACCACATCTAAAATTTGGAAAACTGAGTAATGAAGATGTTGAACAAACCTTTCTCAAGTCACCAAGTGAGCAGTATTCCATTCCTAGTGAATACTGTTTAGGATATTCTTTGTTTAATGCTTCTGGTATTGCAATGAATGAAACAATATTTGAATGATTCATATCTTTGATAAGTCTCATCTAAAATAAGAAATAGGATTAGAAAATATATTACATAAATTATAGCGCAAGTTAATTTGAGCATAGTTGAATATGGACGATATGCCATATGCCAGTGTTTGCCAGCCTTAAAAAATTTCTTGGGTCGGTTGTTTTTTGGAATAAATGTTATGTAAAAATGATTGTTTTATATTAGTCATCAAGTTTGTGGCCTTAGAAGTAGTACATGCCGTTTAGCATAAGTTTTCCTATATTATCATGTCCTATTCAGTAAAAAATGTAGTAGGCTATATTAGTAGTATTTGATGGAAACCCAATTTTTTCGCCTGATTTTCTGTGGTCTGTTTGATTAACGGGTGGCTCGTCTTATTTTCTTTTTTTGTCATGAATAGGCTTGTTATTATCTTTGGACCAGAAAAGGAGAACAATAGTGTGCCTTCTCATAAGGTTTCAAGAATTGGCGAATCTAGAATATCTCCGCTGTAATTATTGAATTTAAGGAAGGTTAAAAGCTTCTTCCACATCCTTGTAATCCAGCTTGCAAATCAATATAAGTTAAACATGGGTAGAATGTGATGGGTAGAAATGCTCAAAGCCTAAGTCGCATCAACTTAATCAATGAGTTCAGACCGACCGGGTGGTCCAAGGTGGCAAGATTTAATAAGGGCTGCAAAAAATTTCGAGGAGTAAAACCCAAAAGTGGTCACAATACTGCAAGGTTAGTTACATAGGCTATAATAAAGAATGATGGTTCATCGTTCCAATCAGCCTATTATTATGTTGCAGAAGTGACATTTTTTAGTTTAGGGAAGAAACAAAACAACAAAACAATTTGTTTCATGCTTTTGGTTGCTGCTTCAGATCAATGTTTCGCCACTTCTATTACATGGTACACGATTGAAAATATTGGTGCGAAAATAAAGTCACAAAACGTCTCTCCAGATACAGAGTTGCTGAATGCGAGTTGAAAGTGCGAAGTTGAGATGAAAAGCGCAACTCATCTCATCGGATGGGCCCCGTCTACACAAGACAATTCCTTCTCCATGGTCTCAACCCCCCAGTCCCCCCCATTTCCTTTCTCCGTATTGCTCAGAGTCATCTTTCACTTATCATCGCTCGATTATTTACAGGCAATAAAAACGCATCTGGCCGTCTTTACACAGAATGGTAACGGTCTCTCGACAATTGATCGTACTGATTACAGGACGCCATTCCCATTTTAGCATCACTTTGACTATACAACTCCGAAATTCAAGTAGCGTACCTCAGTTTGCCACCTTGACATCATATCACCAGTCGCATTCTTGCATTTTTTTATTGCTATCTCTTCGCCAGTTACCAAATTTTTCCACATGTAGACATTACCAAATGCTCCAGATCCTAAAAGTCTTTCTTGAGACCAATCACCATATCGTGGTTGTGTAACACCAAGATCATTTGGCCTGTTTGTCATTTTTGCCAGACAATAACAAGGCTACTCCTGCTGCAAGTGGAGCTAAGAAAAGTTTTATTTATATGCTAAGTTGAAACCCCTGGATAACTACAAAATATGTTTTAGCTGCAATGTATTAATATCCACGTGAATTATTTAAAATTACAAATTGTATTAATTTAAACCATGACAATGTACAACTAATAGGTCACAAGTCTCTGATTCCAAGATGTCCTAACATTGGTTCAATCCCTCTGAAATGAGGAAATCTGGCATGCCGGCAGATGCATCAGATCACGCCAAGCTTGTCTCGATCGCAAGAACAAAACTGGCTATAATGCCAGATATTTTTTTTCTTCAATAAATTACAGAATTAGATTATCGTTTTACGAAAATTCAAATGGTGGCGTTTTTAGATTGCACTTCCTTTTAGTTTATTGCACAGTGCCAGTTTGCAGTTTTGAAATAAAAACAAAAATATTTAATATACAAGACAAAAGAAGATTTCGCCAAGCTGATAAATTGGAGTCAAATGCCAAATTGCCCAACCAAAGTTGAGTGCATAAATAGGTGGGCTTAACCGCTCCGTTCACCAATGAACATATATTGCCCAATTGTAGTCCAGATTACATCAATGAGGACGGTTCCTTTAATTACCGGAACGGACCCTAAATTACCGGAATGGGGTGGAAAATCTACATAAACCTACCAAAACAGACCTTTAGATGTCTTGCAAATGCCATTTCATATATCTCCATGCAATTTTTATATTAAATCGGCAAACTTGGGAGGGACAGTGGTAAAATTAATTTTCTTTAATTACCGGAACGGACCCTAAATTGCCCGAACGGAGTGGAAAAACTACCCAAACCTACCGGAACCGACCTTTAGATGTCTTGCAAATGTCATTTCATATACTTCCATGCAATATTTAGGCCTATATTAAATCGGCAAACTTGGGGGGGGGGACAGTGGTAAAATTAGTTAAATGCTACCGGTAACAGTTTAAGTAAAATATAATTAAATTAGGATATTGATACTGCAGTACGGCACACTATCCAAATTCCAAGAGTTTCCCTCCATTTGGCTCAATAAAGTGTCTCAGAAACGAGGGGCGTCTGGCCCCACGTCAGATGCTTCATATCGCCCCATGCTTGTCTCAATAATAATCTAAATTTATCGCGGCCGTCACGTGACCAAACTTGCCGTTTTTTGCTAAAAACTCTCGAATGCAACGGTAAAAAATTTTTTTCTTCGATAAATCGGATTATTTTTTCCTGAGGCATTCAATGATGATGTTATTAGATTGCGCTTTTTTGTGGTATTTTGCGCAACTTCATTATACTGTATTATTGCCGATATTGACGGACAACAATTTCCAGACGTCTCCCAAAGAAGGGGTGTCTGATCATCTGTAAAATGGGTTTCTCTTAAACGGGACAATGTCACCCAATTTGTATAGTGTGCCGTACTGTACTGAGGTAGGTGGAATATATTGGTTACCGGTATTAAAGGTGTGAGCAAGGAAAAAAGAATTTATACTAGCAGACTAGTAAGACGCCTCTATCTGAGGCCAGAGGAATCATTTAAATAGACTAGTCTATGACAAATTTGAATAATTAAGTCTTTCAACATCTTCCTTGATCTGTTGATTCCTAAATCTATATCGTAAATCATGTTGAACTGTTATTGACTACTCAGTCTACTAAAACCCAGCAATACCTGAATACCGGTATCCTAAATGAATCTAAAATCTGAAAACACTCTAAAATCATATTACAGTATTAAAGAGCAATGAGCATCCTTTTCAGCAATTGAAATTTCGCAGAACTGATTTCTAGAAACTACAAAAATGGAGAACCAACCATATTCAAGTATCCTGATAGTACTGTACCGGTATAGGTACGGTACGGTACCTATTACAGCTTCAATTTTCCGTACCGTAGATAAATGAGAATAGGATAGCATAATTTATTTCTATAAAAACAGCAAGCATAATGGTAAGCCTTAGCTTTTTTTTTTTTTTATAAAAAATGGATAGGATATGAAATACCGTAGCATTCATTACACGAATTCCGCTTGTTGCATTGATTTTGAAACATACAATCCACAAAAAGCAGAAATAAATATGTGAATACGAAGATTATTACGGAGCATTTTTAAAGGGTTGGTCAACAGAATTCACCTCTTCTATACCGGTACCGGTACCACATTGGAATAGAAGAACTCACATTGAAGGACTCTTCTTTCTATACAATTCAGTTACAAACAAAACCTACAAAGTCATAGTCGAGTTTATTTTTTCGCATCCAGTGAAAAATAACATACGAAATTGACGAAAAATAGGTAAAAAAAAGCCTTAGCTACTAGTACAGTGGTCACCAAAGTGTGGGTCGCGACCTCAAGTGGGGTCGTCGAGTGTCCAGCGTTGTCTTTTTTATTTTATGGACCTTTCCCCGACCTTTGACCCCCGAAAAATTCTTTCCATACTTTACCATTGCAAATTTTTCGAGGCTATTTTAAGAGTGCTTTTGCGAGTTGGCGCCTGTGAAATGGGGTATGTGTTCCAAACCATCATTATGATTCATCGCATACAACAATCTGTTTTTTAAAAGTACCGTTAAAGAATCTTAGCCTAGTCTATCACATAGGGTGACCATATTTCCAAACCCTAAAAGGAGGACACATCGTTTGGTGGAACAATATTACACCGTGCCTGAGATATATACATTATGTATGTACTAAATTCTCCACAATTAAAAATCTAAGTGCCGATAGACGATGTGACGGCAATATGGACCTTTCCCCGACATCGTCTTCCTTGTTTACTTCGTGACATTGGCCAATCAGCAAGATGCAAAAAGTGTCGTTGTTCAGACAGATTTTCAAGCGTGGTCGTAAACATTACCTCGTTCTTGCGTTTTTTAACTCTATTCGTTAGTTTTCTGTTGTGTTTCGGAAACTTAAATATAAATCAGATAATTCAATGATCACTCTTGTGTCTTCCTAGGAGTTTTAATTTAATTGCAATGATAAAAAATTAGTGTAGAAATAGCTGTGATAGACTAGGCTAAAATTATTTACCGGTACTTTTAAAAAACATATTGTTGTACGACGTACGCGATGAATAAAATGATGGTTTGAAGCACATACTCCATTTTACAGGCGCCAACTCGCAAAATTACTCCCAAAATAGTCCCGAAAATTTTGCAATGGTAAAGTATAGAAAGAATTTCTCGGGGGTCAAAGGTCGGGTAAAGGTCCATAATTCATTCTTGTCTTGGCAACGAGCAACTGTAGCCACAAGTAATGCACTCCGCTTCGCTATCAAATCTAAAGCATGAATACTTTTGCTTCAGTAGATGGATAGAAAAAAAACATTTTTCTTTTCGGCTTAATTTACTGTGTCTACTGACGTAATTTTCTGCTAAAATCGAAACTCCACCAAATTGCTAAATACAGGATGCAATGACGTAAAAGATAATTGCGGAACAACACGATTTTTAGGTGATGAACAAGTATGCATTTAACACTGAGCAGTGGTTCTTAACATTTGCGAGTCTGCCAAACCCCGGGAGCTATTGTACAAGCTTCCTTTAAACCCCCATTTAACGGCTGAAAATAGGAGCGCAATTAGAACTCACAATAAAGAAACTACTTTTGTGCATGGTTATAAAAAATGATCTTTGTGGTGTAACCTTAGATACCAATATGCAGCGTGGAAATAGTCATTGTTGTTTCACAAAGGCACTGGCTGCATTAATCTTTCGCTGTATTATAATTGCTCTTTGGAGATGATATCATACCTCAAAAATGTCGGTATCTCAGTCGTTTCTCAAACTGCATTCGAATGCGGATTAATGCGTTTTTTCATGGATTTTTGCCGGAATTGACATAGTCTACCATATGACTTAGCGCAGGGGTCGGCAACCTACGGCCCGTGACGCTTCACTGAATTAGTCAAAGCAGCTGTTTTGACGATCATATTCTTTACGTAACAGAATTTATTGTGAGACACGTGTAGACCCATAACAACCGAAGATATTTTGAACCCATTTTGTATTCGGGGTTTATTAGGGTATTTATGAACCTATATGGTATCTCAATGCCTTGCTTGTCATATGTGTATTGGTAATGGCAACTTTCTACTTACTTTAAAATTTTCTTAACCCATCATAAAATGTTGATTATGTCATAAAAGAATTTTAAATATTTGATTCCTTAAAAAAGGAGGACATTTTGACTTTTTAGAGCGTCCTCGGAGGACATAAAATTTTTGACGAAAAGTGAGGACAAATCCTCCAAAAGGACGACGTATGGTCACCCTACTATCACAGCTATTTCTACACTAAATTTTAAAACCGGAATTAAATTAAAACTCCTAGGAAGACAGGGTGACCATTGAATTATCTGATTTACATTAAGGTTTCCAAAACACAACTGAAAACTAACGAATAGAGTTCAAAAATGCGAAAACGAGGTAATGTTTACCGACCACGCTTGAAAATCTGTCTGAGTGAGAAAAGTGTCTGAGCGGATGCGAAAAGGTAGCATTGTTACGTCACTTTTTGCAATTTGCTGATTGGCCAATGTCACGAAGTAAACAAGAAAGTCGATGCTCGGGGAAAGGTCCATTGTGTTCCGTCTACAGTTAAGCTGACTAGCGCTACATTTCAAGTTTTTGAATTGGAGTGATATCTTTTATAATAAGGCTATAGTGCAGTGGTGTGCAACCTTTTTCGCAGGCGGGCCAGATACCAATAACTGAGTAAAACCGCGGGCCGCACCTTCTTTAACATATGCTTTCTTCCGCTAGTTGCAGGCACAAAATATTGTCTTCTTGTTATTGATCTTATGACATTATTAAGGGTCCTAGCAGAAACGATGAGTCAAAATGCATAAATTGCTGGAAAATGTATAACGAATTCAGTGTGGAATTTGCTGCTGGATTCTTTTCCTGACTACTTTTTCGAACTTTGATTTAATGGAAGTGCTAGCAATTCGATATCCATTTTCTAATTCTTCGTCTTTCAGCCGGTTTTATGAGCGCTATTTTAGAAAAAAACATGTTGAGTCGAAAAGTGCAGTATTTGAAGCCATGACTTGTTTCAAATGTGGATCTCGGTTGAGATGT